TCTTTTATGTCTAAAGTCTGCTTAAATCTAAGCTAAAAACTCACTTCATCTTTACTAATACTTCTGTCCTCCCTCTGAAATGTAGTGTCTATAGGCACGTCTAATCAGCAGTCACAGAAAGAGCAGAGCTACAACACAGCTTTAAACCAACGGACTGGAATAGCTGTAGATGTTTATCTGTGCTCAGCAGAGGGTAATTCTATGTTGTGGTGCAGTGTAGCAGGACACAGCACACAAGGTAGAGGAGTGGTGAATAAAACTAACTTTCATCAACACTGAGAAGTTAAGCACAAATTTTGATAGCTTAACTTTGGGTTTTTTTGACTAAACAATTTGTGTCACTGCAGGTCTTAACCTGACATTCTTACTCGTGCTTATTTTGACTGTTTTGATCCTCGAACAACAACAGTAGGTCAGACACACCGTCAGTCTGGTCCAAAAGAATTATAAATAGTGGCGAAAGATTCAGTGTGTAAAAGAATGCAGCAGATGGTCTTAACATTGCATTATACAAAGTTCACTTGTTATGAAGTGAATAGAGAAAAAATGCCACCACCCAGATTTTGTAGCTTTCCATCAAGTTCCAATAAGAACTATGATATAAGGGACAATAACTTACTATTTGTCACAGTAATTTGTTAGAGTGCTATGAACTTTTGGGCAGGGCACAAAGGATGGAAAATCTTAGCTAAATGAAATAATGGTCTCTTTTCATTTAGCTTACTGTGTGAACATTTCTGTTGCTAGAAGCTGCCTGTAGTCAGTTTAAGCAGTCAGGGGACCAGACACGTGTGATGGGATGTGCAGTCATAAAAGAATAGGTAGATTGCTACGTGCATGATGAACTGTGCAGGTTTCAGGCTTCTAGAAAGTTTAACAAGGAGAGACTCATTCAACTGACAGCTGGTGGGGAGGGAGACAGCAGAGCTTGTTCTTGCTGTGCAAATGTAAACTTCTTACTACAGACTTCCCACAGGAAGGAGGCCCTAATGTGGGAGGACCGCCTTCTTTGCCTGATTTAACCCAGGTTTTTCCAAATAGCAGTGATCTGAAAATATCTGCTTGTTTCAGGCTCTGTAGGGCCCTCAGGCACTAGGAACTGCTGAGAAGTGTCCCCAGAAAAGGAAAAAAGTCTGGTCCTGAGGGTCCAGGATGTGCAATCTACTAATGGATAAGGCTTTATGCAGCATTTCTGCCCAGTTCTAGGTGAAATTTAATTATATTAAAAGACAAAAAAATCACTGGTACAAGTACGTAACCCCTCTATGGCTGAAAACGAGGAGTGGATCCAGTATTTTGCAGTTTTCTGCTCTATGGTGGGTGCACATCCTTTGTTTCCAGTTTGAATGTCAGGTATGCCAGAATGACCAGGGATAATCATGACCCAGACAAAGGGCTGGATCACCTGAAAACCTGTTTGCAGGGTTGGCAAACCAGCCCAAGAACAATAGTTCTGTAAGCAGCAAGAGAACTGAAGACCAGTTTCCTTTAACTTGTATCTACTGATTGACTTCAAGAATATTATATAAATTAAGTTTATTCCTTCTTGTACATCAACTAATCCATGTAAGACTCAGCAATTTTCTCTATCTTCAGGAAAAATCTTTGTGCAGCTTGTCTAATTTTCTGTAAATAAGAAGGATTTACATCTTTTCCTAGATAATAGATCTTATAACATCTTGTTCTGGTTTTATGCTTCTTCTTAGCCTTTCTCTCAATGAAGACAATAAATCTCTCTTCTCTGACCAGCTGCCTGTTTTCATGGTAAGAATTTGCAGTCTTTGAGCTACAACTGCATGCTGAATCTGGCTGAAAGTGATGAATGGTTTAAAAAGCTTTTCTGGGGGAAGGTAGGTGTAGGCACAGTGTGCTGGCACAAGCCTTGCTTCCCTGGAATTTTAGGCCATTGTAGAGGAAGCCTATTTAAGGTAGATCAATGTTGCAAAAACTGCCTACTATACATTTGCTTGCAAAACACGCTGACACTTATATTTCTATAATTCTTGGCTATAGAAACACAAGCTGATCATCACTTCTGATATCTTAATTGTTACTTGGTTTAATATATCTAAAGAGACTTGACTTTGCAGAGTGCAGATGTTCATAACTCAGGAATGGGCCTCCTGAAGATGATCTCAAGCTGAGCAACTAGGCTAACTTTTACATTTCTTAAGCTCTCTGGGGGCCCACTTCAAGTGTGGGTCAAGTCCTGCAAGACAGCAAAGGTCTCCTGGAAGTTGTTCAGTTCTTTCTGAACTCACTATCTTGAAGAAGGGTTGGATGGAACTGCTTTCTTATGCAAAGTAAACCAAGCAGCTTTGCCAGAAGATCAGTGTGAGATACAAAAAAGGACACAGTGCTCATGTAAATAAGCACATAGCAAGTAACTCCTGTGTAGCTAGGTTTGCTGTTTCCCCTTTGCAGATATTTTCATTCCACAGATATGCAAGCTATGCCAAACTAAGCTTATCTGTTCCAAACCTTGCCTTTGTGCACCTAATGGTTTCAGGTTCCCTTTGCAGCACTTCTCTTGTCCTATATTTCTTGAAAACAGCAACACTTCTGCATTTTTCTAGTTTTTGGGTGCCTGGAGAAGACTTCAGTCATTCCTTCGTACCTACACATTTCTGACAGGCCTAAAAGCAAATGTAAGGATTTGGGGATCACTCATATATACAAATGCTTTAGAAGCAATTCAAAGTTGTCTTTCCCTCCTGCAGTTAAACAGAGCCAGTGTCTAGACTGAAAATGTACAGTACCCACAAGCTCTAATGTTTAAAAATATGAAGCTCTCAGCATGATGTAATACTGTGCTAGTTTCTAAACTCGGGTCTTGATTTTCATGCCAAAAGTTATAGATGACTCTTGTGAACTCAAGCATTTGTCCCAGCCTTTCTAGTTCTTAAAACTACTAAGCATTGCATTTTGCCAAGAGTAGGGTGAGTCCCAATTCCCTGCAATCCTTTTTGTCTAAAGGCAATTAAATACTGCCAGTTGCTTCACATACCACACAATCTTTTCCCTGGCAGTGTAAAGCATTTTAATCCCTGAATCACTCTCCTTGGAGAAGTGTTTTAAAATCTTTAGAGCTCTCTGAGTTTCTGTATTTTACAGAATTCTGAAACTAAGACATCCATACAAGCAGTCATACGTAAGCAGCTTTCAAGTGGTGTAAGATTTGGCATAGTGCCAGAGATGCTTCTGCCAGCTGCTACTGTGGTTGATAATTGCACCTGACAAAAAGTAACTGGGGACAACCTCCCCTCCAGCCCCTCTCTAATCATAGAAAAAGACTCTTGGATATCATTTTGAGTCAGTGGTTCCCTTGAACACTACAAAGGGCTTAAAGGCCTTGCTAAAATTTTACAAAGACAACTGTTTTTCAAAAATGTTAGTCTTTTGATAGCTTACCATACTTTATCAACTCCAACACTATTTCTAATAATTTTATGTGTAAATCTCACTGTCACTTTAAATTCCTTTTGTAAACAGAGAAAACATGAAACTAAATTAGTAACTTCCTGCTTCCTACATTAAGCTACACGGTGAGATTTTTCCAGTCAATTTCTTTTGCAACAAGCAAAAAAAATATATATACATTAACCTAACAGAGTTGTATAGCAAAGGGATTACTAAATATTACTCATATTTGCTCTGTCTGCTTCATGTAAACAAACGTGACTATTTCCCCTGCCCCAATTAAAACCTCTGTAAAAAGAATAGCATGTCATCTTCTCCTCTCTCCCGACTCTATCTTTTCAGAACAGGCTTGAAAAACAATAAATGCACAAAAGCTACTTCTGTTGTTCGGCACAGTAAATTGCTTGAAAAATTCTAGCAAGCAAGTAGCTTTTGATCTGATAGGAACTGACCAGTACTACTGAAGCCAATGAGATCAAATTATTCACAGCAGCCTCTCTAAACATTCAGAATACCACAAATATATAAAAGCCTCTTTAGAATTGGCCATACAGTTCACAGTGGGAGTTAAAAAAAGTCTCCTTACAAATAACCCCTGTGGGTGTGTCTAGATGCTGCTATGAAATTATGAAAAATACCTTGTAACTGCACTAGTCTTTACACATTTCATTAAAATATTTTAAACCTCATAAAATATTAACTTGAAATTCTGGTAAAATAATGCTTTTAAAAAACCCCACAAGTTTAGGTTACTGACTCCTTCAGAGACTTTCAGCTCTAGGGAAAAAAAAAAAATTCCAGCTGTAACCAAATTTTGTTACAGAATTGTAAGACTTTAAAGTAGAGTCCAGTGCGTACCTTTTGCATTAAAACAAAACTTTATTGATTGGGTATCTCCATTTTAGTTCTACAGTTTGACAACCCTGAATGCTTCTGACTTGTTCAAGTGTGTGGAATATTTTTAAATGAACGTGGTAATTAGCATGAGAGTGCAGTTTTGTGAACAGCTTACAAAGTTACCAAAGTGCTGAGGAGTTGCTACTTCAGCAATGATGCTTTTTGCCATTAGATGAGATAATTAATGTCAGTCAGCCAACGACTAAATAAATATGCATTGTAGCTCAAAAGTCCATGTAAGCATAAGAACTGAATCTGTATATATTTGTGCTGGTCTGAACCTGTCTATGCCAGACTGGTCATACCATTTTAGAAGCAAGTCCAGCCAACAGGATAACTGGGCTTTCAGGCATAGTTTGTGCTGTTGCAATCCTAAAGAGATATTATCAAGAATAGCAACTTTGTTTTTGCTAGTTCTACCGGCATTAACAAGGAAATGAGACACCCTGATGCAAACTTTGAGAAGGAAAAACTGGTATTTGCTGCTCTAATTCACCAGCAGTGTAACCTGTTCTCTCTTTCTTGATGTATTGCTGCTATATTTAATTTAGCATTAAAAAATACTTTTTCTGTGAACTGTAAATCTAAGCATATGAGATACAGTCTGCAATGTGTTGATATTCCAAATGCTTCTATGATGCTGATTAGCGAGTTCTCAACGAGTTAAAATTTACTTTACCTACCAAATCTGGTTTCAGTTTGTTGGTCAAAGGAAGAGAGTAAAGCATGGAGTATAGGGTTGTTACCACAGAGGAGGTCCAGGACTGTCTAACCTCACGGCTTCTGGGAATGCGATGAAGGGTGAACTGGAAGAGAGCACGACAAGTGGAGCTGTTACTTTTCTAAGAATGTTGTCGTTCCTTCTATAGCGTTACTACATCTGTCTGTGCCAACCTTTTTTTGATTTTTTTTTTTTTTAATGTAGTTTGGAAGTGTTCGGGTGTAAGGGCTTTGCACAGATGCCTGTGGTGCGATGCTTAGCACTCGTGGCAATAAAGTAAACAGAAATACTAGACCTGCATACCTATTGTGTAATCCCTTCTCGGGTTACTTTAAAGCCTTCCCGAGGTCCCAGCCAGCCGTGCGGGCGCAGCTGCCCCGCGGTGCGTTAGCCGAGTGCGGCACCTCGTGGGCACCGCAGCCCTCTGACCGCACAGCCCAAGCGCGGGGAGAGACAGCCCCGCTGCCTCCCGCCCGCTGGAACCCTCCGTGCATTTACACCCCAGAGAACGCAACAGCTTTTCTCAGTCAATAACAAAAAGGTAAAAGCAAATATCGCTATCCTTTAAATGAGTACTCCGTGAGTATTCAAAAGATATGCACATATTCAAAATGCAAAATATTTGCATAAAGTAAGAGGAAAGAACATCTTATCATTATTAAAATTAAAATTAAAAATAAATCATTTTCTGCGTTCTTTCCCTAGGAAAAAGTAAAGATTATTTACTGTGTAAAAGGTATCAAATTAATAAAACAAGGATGTTTTCTTCTTGTCTGAAAGCACTGTGAGCATGTAACAGCAGTTAGGCTGCCTGCATTCTTCATAGGTGGCTTTTACCTTGATGGAGAGGAGCTACACATCAAAACTGCACATAAGAACTAGTGCTATGTCAGAAGGCAGTCCTTATCCTAATGTTTGACTGTTGAAATGAAAGACAAATATAAAGGCTGCAGTGACACTGACACAGTGTTCATGTGGACAGTGGTCATTATCTCACTTCATCTGGGCCAGCAGATCACTACCACTCTGGAAGAACTCATACTGGGAGTGAGAAACACTAAATATAAATATTGAAAGTTGCCCAGTTACTTCAAATACACATTGCTAATTATTATAGCTTAGTCCTGGTGATTTGTGCCCAGGAAAGATGATGTTAACAGTAGCTATACAGTAAATACAAGCTTGAAATCAGTCTTGAATAGCACTAACTGGGACTTTAATATATAAGGTGGAAAGAATAACCACCCCCCACTCACACACATTTATAAGTGTAGACTGTTAATTTTCTTAGTTGAAATTAACCTGTTTTGTTGTGATATGTTTCTTTAATTGCTGTGATACCAACAGGCATTAACAGATGTTATAAACTGGTTTTTTTATGTTTTATTTGCAGGTGTTGAAACTCTGATTGCATTACTCTGACAACAGAATATGGAAAAATAAACATGCCCTCTGCTCCCTATTCAGCAGGTTTCTGGTTATCACTGCTTCTCTGTTTCTTAAAGCTTTGGAAGAGTTCAGGTGATTAAAAAAAATGCTGTAAATGGAGTTTATTTGACAAAAAAAAGGGCATGTGATTTTCTTCATCATTAGAAAACCCAAGTAATTTCAATAAAACTTGGCAGGGATCTCAAATAGTATCAAAGAAGAAATTTACTTGTAGAATGCAAGTAAAGATCAAGCTGATTTTATCTGTTCTTTTCAAAAGCATGCTGGAAACTTTAGTCCTTTACCTAGTTAATATTGATGTATGCAAGCATGCAAAGAAAAGCTGGTGGAAAATTGCAACTACTCTGAATTATTGTAATATGCTCAACTGAACATACTGCAATGCTTGCTTAGAAACTGGGTTTACACAGCTCTTTTTCATGCTGAAAAACAAGATTTCTTAGCATAGTATCTCTCATAAAACAAAAAATGGAAATGTATGGTCAGAAGAGGTTTAGGTAAAGGTTAGTTAACCTGCTTGTTCATCTCAGATGTGACAAAGGGGAATATAAGATCTGGTGAAGAATTCATGTTCTTCAGTCAACAAATCTAAGTTGTCTTTCTGCTGCAAGAGTAGGCTGACAGCAACTGAAGGAGGTTCTCTATGCTGAGCATAGATGGTCCCCTGAGTAACAGCTCTGGGGGCATCCACGTGGAATAGTTATGGTTACAGGCTGGGGGTAACGGAGTGACAGCAGGACCAGAGACTTTTCATAGGAGGCATTTTGGATTTCTTTTTTTCAAATGACTTAGTAGGTTGAAGTGCAGCACTTTTCTTCTTGCAAGCAAGATGCTCATTCTGGCTTCTTTTCCTTCTCCCTGAATACTGCAGCTGTTAGAACTAGGCTAGACCACAGATCAGAAAGTAAAGTATTTTGTGGGGTTTTTTACATCATAATTTTCTTACATCACTGATTTTCTGTTAGGTTATTTCTCTAATTTGTCTTCCATCTGGCCCTTAGTTCTGGAAAAATTTACTTCCTTGACAAGATGGGGAAGGGAATAACCATGTGTGGAAGCATTCAGACTTTTCTCTTTCTACTCAAAGCTGTAAGAAGCTACTAGCATATAATTTTTAAATGCTTGATGATCTCCAGCATCCCCAGTAACAAAATGCATACTCTGTGCCAGTATCTGAAAGCACACTCTGAAAGTTAGCAAATACATGTTATAGGCATATGATCTTTACTTTCCAAAATTTATCTTCCATTTTCTCTCTAAATACTTTTGCTCAGTGGAAAAAGAATGGTCAAAGGAAAATGAGCATCTGTTATCCAGACATCAAACTCACATGCAGCCAAAAATATTTCTTTGGCTTTCAGTGTTGAAGGAAAATATAACTACATGATCTGTTAGCAGTTGGAGGGGGTATGAAAAGGAAGTTGCTTAGCAAAAACAAGTGAACTAATGGAAAATTATGTTATCTTTTAATACTCAAAACATGTATTTTTAAGAAATTTAATAATTTAGGGTTGGACATTTTTCAGGTAAGTGAATATAACTGTGTGAATGGCTATTTACCAAACAAGATTTCTCAGAACAGGAAATACCTCTGGTCACTTTACTAAACTTTCATCCTCAGACTGCCACGCTCAATTTAAACTAAATCATCCCCACTTCATCTGGCAGCTTGTGGGCAGGTGAGGAACCTTCAGCTTCCAAGGTGGAAGTGTGGTAAGCAGATTTATAAATGTCATTGTGAGCCTGTTGCTCACCTTAGCAGCAGCTGCCTCACAGTAAAAGGGTTTATTCTAAAAATCATTGGTACCAAGTCTCACATCCTTTTGTCCCAATAGCACTGCTGAAGGCAATGGAAGTGCACCAAATGAAATCGACACCATGTAAATAATTATTTTACTCTGTGCTGTACTGTTTGCTCAAGAGGACTTATGATTTTATAGTTAGAATACTCACTTGGGCATTGGACTTATTCTAATCTCTAAATAAAAAAATACCATCTTTCTACTAATTTTACTGGATGTCAGGTCACACTTTAAGTCAGCAGTCATGCTGCTGTCTGTTAATCATACAGCAAACTAGGTCAAAGCAAGCAAACATGATAAAAAGATAAACAAGATATTTTAATGATTTTTTCATTATTTCTAGGAGTTCAGCATTCGCTCAGATCATCAGCCACAAAACTCTGAGATTCAGAGGCCTTGCATCTCTTTTAAACACGTTTAATATTTTATTTTAAAATGCAACCAAAACACAGTCTAGAAACACACAAAACCAATACAATTTCAATTAAGGTTTACTTATATAAAACATTCTTATATGTTATTTCTTTACAAAAAAAAAAAAATTGTGTCATTGAGGGAAATGCCAAATTAAAAAAGATCCCCCTCCCATATTTCTGACCTAGTATATTTATAGCTACAATAACACTTCAGTGGCTAGCTGCTTCCCAAAATTAAAAGAGATTTATTTTCAACATGTTTTTCTTGAGCAAGAGACAGCCTTCTTTTCACACTCACTTTCACTACAATTATGTTTCCTCATTGGTTTAAATGGATTAACATATAAACAGGAGGTAAAGACTGTTTCAAGAGAAAGTAAGAAAGGTGGTTGTGAAAACTGGTAGCAAGAACAACATTTGCTATTTTTAAGTAGATTTACTTTGCATTTTCAGTGTCTCTCTAGTACACCAATAATCCATAGTGGTTATTTAGCTCACTTTTAGAACAATAAACCCCATTATCTACAGAATGGCTAATACCTAGAAAATTAAAAGCACTTGCTGTTCATATAAATATCCTTTTAAAGAATCATTTCCAAATTGCCTTGAGTTAGAATGTCATGTTAAGATCACTTTATTTTACATGAATATATTTAACAAGTTACCTGGGATTTAGGGAATGTTTCAGCCCTTTTTTGTTCAAAAGAACGTATTTTAGCTTCACTCATCTTATCTGAGTCTGCTAAAACATAATGTCTAGGAGAGTAGGACTCTGACAAACAGCTAATTAACCTCAGGATTTCTGTTGTGTGCCCACCTGTAAAAACAAAACAAACTGCAGTTAGTATATGGGAAATTTTGTAACTTTCCATTTCTTCAGCTGAATAGGTCACTTTTCTTTTTGAAACGTGTTAGTACTACTACTTTCAGTGATGCTCTTCTGAGAGTAGAGGATTCAATCAGAGGATGATTAAGACTAAATGTTTAAGTAATGTGGAGATAATCCAGCTCCCACTGAAGCTGTATTGATGGATGTTTTTCAGCAGGGACTGTGCTATCCCAGCTCATAGTACCAAAATCAACTGGGCAGCAGTTTCACTTGTGGTCACTCCAGTGTGACAGCCTGAACAAACAGTCCTGCTCCAGCGGGGTGCTCTGACCACTGCCCTTGAGCAGGTGCTCACAACCTTCCAACTGCAAGGTCACTTGGTTCAGGGAGCTAAACTGGCACCAAAGTGGAGAGAAGGAGAGAAAGTACTAATTGTGCTTTTTAGAGGGAAGGGTTAATTTTTTTTTTGGTCATTTGAGCTTCCTGAACTGCAGTTACAGGGAAAGGGAGAGAAGGAAGACTGTGTACACAGGTGAGGTGGAACGGGCTCACCTTTTAACTGTTGGACTGGATCAGCTTAACATCAAACTGCACTTATGCTCTGTGCATAAGCATTTACTGACTGTGTGACTTTTTCACTCTGCTGGCAGCTGCAGACCAAAACAGCAAACTAAATGTATTCCTACTCCCTCCTTCTGTCCAGTGTCACCAGGCTCCTAAGAGGCCTGTTACACAGGTGAAACACTTATGACTGGTGAACAATTGACAAGCAAGGCAGGTTATGCTATGCTATGCTGTGGCCTTTTACAAACAAGAGTTTGCCACCTTTCCACACAATTGCATGCTGTATTTTTCAAATATGTTTGGAGGTATTTTCTTGTCAGCAATGGTTGTTGAAGGTTTCACAAATTTTAATGCAATCATCTGAGCATTCACATAAGAGTAGGAGACTCCTACTTAAAGTGTCAGATAGGCTTGAACATTTTATGAATCTTAACTGACATGAATTATTTCACCTGGTAAGCTTATGTATGGTGAAAGTATTCTTTTAATACAGACAAATTAGATTCCAAAGGACTGAAGGAAAACAAGCACATTTCCAGCCCTAGTGGAAGTAAAGATGACCTGAAGAATTATAAAACTGCCAGTGAAACTCAGATTGCAGGAAGATCCTGAGACTGCTACTCAATTAGCTGGTGCACAAAAACCAAAGGGATCCTGAGGTGACGAAATCAAAGCTGGCCTGGATTTGTCAACTGCAACTTTTCAAATTCGTTTTTTGGGGCAAATTAATTGCCCTGCAACTTTTGGGAGGAGGTAACAAGGTGCAGTAGACGCGTGTGCCCCCCTTCCCCCCTTAGCATGGGGTGACACTCCTGCACAGCTGTAGCGCCTCTGAGGGACCCACGCGAGGCTCCTGTGAGTAAATCACAGGAGCGCGGTTCGGGTAAATTACAAAACGCCACGTATGTCAGGGGTGTGCCGATCGCTGGAAAGCCGTGCCCTCCACCGCCATTGACAATTTTCCGTCGGCAGACTGAGCAGCCGCACGGGTCAGTCCTGCACCTGCCTATCGATACATTCGTGAGCGACCCTGGGGAAATGCACGTGCTGCCGCAGGGAAAGGCTCTGAAACCGAACTGCCACACACAAACACGGACGAAAACGCCCCAGATGAATACGAAGTTTAACAGTTTCTCAAATCGAGCACTAAAAACCCCAAAGTCAGGCGGCGGCGCGGAGGGGACCCGGATCGGCCCGGGTGGGCTGCGGGAGCTGCCGCGGAAGGACCATGGCACCGCGACTACAGCTCCCGGCATGCACCGGGGCCTAACGACGGGCGCCGCGCCGGGTCCGCCCCGCGCTGCATGCCGGGACTCGTAGTTCCAGGAGCCCTGCGTGGCCGCTCTGCGGAGCCATCCGCTCCCGCCGGCGGCGACCCCCACTCACCGGAGCCAGCCACCACCAGGAGACTGAGCGGAGGTGTCCGCCGGCCGCGGCGCCTCCTAGCCAGGAGCGCCAGCGGGACGAGCAGTAAGGGGAGAAGGAGAAGGAGGGCGGCCGGCTGCAGGAGCTCCATGGCGCGGCCGGCGCCGCGGAAGCGGCCGTGGCACCTCCTCCGTACGGCGGCTGGCGCGGTTCAAACCTCCTCGCGCGGGGAAGGCGGTGGGAGCGCCGGGAGCGGTGCGGGGCTGGGTGGGGGGCGGCAATAAAGTGTGAGGGGCTGCCGTGTGCGGGGTCTGTGTCCCCCGTGTGCCTGAAAAGCACAGCATGAACTCGTGTGCCGGTCTGTGCTCCCGCCGTGTGCCGGGCGTGCTCCGCGCTCCTGCGAGCGCGGTCCGAGCTCGCCCCGTGCGGGAGCGCGACCGCGAGTGTGGGCAGGAGCCGGCGCTGCCAGGGCCCTGCGGGGGCTGCGGGAGCGCCAGAGGAGGTCGAACTGCCCTAATTCACCTGCAAACCGAGACGTGCGTGCCGCAGCATGTGGCTGTCATGTGGCTCCTCTGGCACAGACAAATTCCTGCAGGAGTTTGTCAGCATGCGCAGGCATAACGCTGACCCAGGTACGTACGCTTGCATGCAGCTGTAATTTTCTGTAATGCATAAAATGAAGGATATTAACGTCTCGCTGCCTGTCGTGAATCTTGTTTTCATTCATTCTAATACTTCAGCTTTTTATTTCAGTAAGAAGCGTGGAGCAACAGATCAGCACTCTTTTCGTCCCTGTCAGCATCCGCTCTTTGTTTGGAGATAGCGATGATTCAGCCACTGGACTAATCTCAGATGAGATGTGTGTTTGCTAGAAAGAGTAAGATATTGCATTTTATGATTAGGAAAGAGTTTGTTCATCACTGTCCTTAAATTATTGCCCTCCTCTTGGCCAATGAATCAGGAGTAATGAACTTTGGAACTTTATGGAGTGTTTTGCCACCAGTGCTTTATAGGCTGAGTTGTCACACATATGAAGTGTGACAGCTGTGCACTTGTATCTCAAGTGCACAAACACAGTAGATCAAACACACTGCAGTTCTGCATCAGCCTGCCATGGTTACTCTGGCTGTTTCCCCCCCTCTTATTTATTCTGAACAAATTGGACTTTTTGTAACCCTGTTGGCCTTGGAAGCTGAATGTTTCTCAGTTTTAACAAAAATGTGCCAGTTGTGAGCTCCAGTGGCTATTGTGTAACATACAAGTAAATGATACGTATTCTAGCTATCCTTTGTCATCTTAGGATCAGAAGGGAATCTTTCTGATTCATGCCTCACAGTTCTACAGATTATGTTTTTTTTCTTTACATCAGTGTAACATATAATTTTGCAGTTGTTTTAAGCAGAGACTATTAAAAACAATATTACCATGGTAAGCTTGTCTTCCACCCAAATGAGTAACCTCACAAAAAACATTTTACTGCCTAATCATTGTTGACATTTGGAAGCAACAAGGTTTTAATTAATAGTTCTGTTGATGATGCATGAATTTCAAAAAATTCATTTTGATTTCCACTTAATTAGCTACATAAAACTAATAAGTAGGGACAATAGAGATGCGTGTCTCTCAATGACAGAAGAGGAAGAAAGTACCACAGTCCCTTTCAGGACATAAAGTACTATGTTAAAACAAGCCAGTAAGTTCTGTATTAATTTTGACTATGGTGATCTTTTCCCCTGTTGTACCTTCTTCAGTGAAAATAATGTCATTGATGTAGAATTTAGCCCAGATTGTGACAGTGGCTGTAGCTAGCAATTGTTTTATTTAAGTTGGTTTTTTAAGATTTTTCAAGATCTTTCCTTTGCTCTTATTTTTTCTCTGCCATAAATGTTAAAGAACTGCTTTTTATTAGGCATTTTGTTCCAAGAAACAGTCCTGGAAACTAAGCAGCAAGGGGTGACATAAAAAGCTTCAACTTCTTTTCTCCTTTTTATGTTATTTCTTCTGTATGTACATACTTCTCTTTCCAATACAGAATTCTTCTGTAAAGCTATTTGGTGAAATTATTGAGAAACTGACCTAAAACCAGTAATGCTGGAAGTTTGGTTTTTTTGTTTTTGTTTTGTTTTGGTTTGATTTGGTTTTTGCTAGGGAAGTTATTTATAAACAAGAGGAAAAAATTAGAGTGATACATACAGGGAAATACCTGTTCCTTGGAGTAGAAGATTGAGGATCTGAGAGTTCCTTGGACGTAAAGCGAAGTTCCTGACTTTCAAGGAGTCTAAAAAGCTAACCAGTGAGTTTGCCTCATAAACTCCTACAACGTGCTTGAAGTCTTCTAACTCATTGTTAATGCTGCTAGAGTAAGGGATTTAGCTTTCAAGTAGTAAACACAGAAGATTTCAGGGCTTGAGGGGAGAGTCAGAGTTCAGTAAGACAGGTTAAAATAACTAAAGACTGAAGCAACAATCTGCAACCTAGTTGCAGTCAAGGTCTGTGGATTTTTTTCCTTGGTGAAAATTGAGCAGAGCTCATGAAGATCCCATTTGCAGCATAACGCTGCTAATTACGCCTTTTCTCAGTAGGACGTAGGTGTATTTGTGTTTTCTCATTGTGGCTACTCCCTGCTCACTTGATATGATGTTCTTGGACCTGGGAGACTTGAGTCTGAAGCTGTAACAGTCATGAATCAAGCAGTTTCTCCTACTCTTTCAGCTGTGCTGCGTGCTCGGTGAGCAATCCTGATCCATGAAGTGCCTTGAGAATTCTTCATCTCAGCATCAGACATCCATGTGAAAGCTAATGTGGAAAGCAGTGACTCTCCCAAAGTTTAGCACAACATGGTCACGTTAGCTAAGTGATGGGAAGCAGGTAAAGTACAGGACTTCTGTGAGGAAGGTGCTGGATCCTGCTCTCCAGTCTGCAAATCAGTAATACTGCAAGTGAGTGTGTGACGTGCACGTCTGGGAGGAAGCGGGGCACTTGGTCTGAAAAGTCATTTGTCAGAAGGTGATTCAAGTGCAGTAATTACAGGAGCTGCCTCTGGTACCTCTGCTACTGTTGCACAAAGTTAGCTTTGAACTTCTTTACCAAAGGAGAAATAAACTACACTTACTCTAAATACTTGATCGCTGTTGTTCAACTCTGAAACTCTTGAATAGGAAAAAATAGGTGTAGTATTTTTTCCATGTACTGCTCGTGAGGCAATGTTCCAAAGAAAAACCTGCTTGCTACCCTTTTTGTATGTGAATATTCTCTGTGCAAGCTTACTAGTACATCTGAAGCATGTCTCCTTTGAAAGTTACACTGGTGGGTACTGAATGGAACTGAGGAAAACTGGCTTTTTGTGTTTCAGTTTCTTTTGTCTCCAAGAGGAAAGGCTGTAATTGGAATATAAATAATTTTTTTTTTCCCTGAAATGAAATGTCGGCAGCTTTGACCATCCGACAGTAATTGGCTTCCTGATATTCCACTTGCAAATGATCTTTAACTGTTAAACGAGAGTCTTTCTATGCAACTGAACTACACCTTATAGTCACGATTTCTTCACTGGCACTTTGAATAATTGTGATGTTAGAGGTTTTTTCCTTCTAATTATGAATTCTAAAATTAGATCTAAAAACAAGAGTGGTGTTGTTTTCTTAAATGAGGTAATTTTGTCTTGTTTTGGCTTAGAGTGCAGCTCCACAAACGGTTGCATCAGCACTAACTGTGGAGTAAACTAGCAAAATGGTAGAAGGAGTTAGGTGAACAAAAGGACAGGAATCGCTTAGTCAGGCTTTGCTACTGGAAAAAATTGTAATGTGGAACCATTTATCATGTTAAACCTCAGTCATTTATTAAATGTGTCTAAATATTCTCTTTTTCAGCATGATACTTTCACAGAAGGGATTTGCAGAAACAGATATGTTACATAAGTAAACCTGATTTTCTGCAAGAAAACTATTTTTTTTATGTGCTTATGGTGTTTTTAGAAACATTTAAGAGCAATGATATTATGTTTTTTGATTAGACAAAACCTGAAGACTTCTGACTGGGTTTCTAGTGATTCTTCTTTAATATTAGAAGTGCAAACTGCATCTGGAAGACTCTAAAAGAGTAGCAACATCGTGAGTGTTGTAAAAAGTTTTGTGTTTGGGAAGGGAAGGGATTTTTAATTAAATCAGTGGACTTAGATCATTTGGAATCATCTGGGGACATGATGAAGCAGGCAGCTGATAAATATATAAGGTATTGGATGATGTCATGTGAAGGCAGAATTAGGATGTTATCAGAGCCAGTCTGGCAAAATTTGTCCCTTTTAGCAGCATTTACTTTCAAATACGTTGGGCCCAGTGCAGTTCCACTTTCTTATAAGTCATCAGAATTATATAAATGTAATCTTAGAAGTCCTGATTTGTATTTGTAATCAATAACAGCTGTAATATTTATGTTAGCATTACAGTTAGTGCTGTGCTTCTTGGTATAGTGGCACTTCTTGTATATATTTAAGAGGAGTCTCACTTGTTTAGACACAAAGATACAGCACTTGCAAACACTTAAACAACGCTTTTGCTAAATATGCCAAAAAAGTGGAACCAAATTCTCCAAATCATGAGACTTATTCCATATCAAAAATTCTAAAAATAATTATTTTTTCCCCATTCACATTTGCTGTTCTTTACACTTTAATTTTCAGTGACAGACAGCGAAGTGGTTGTGAGTTTACAATAACTCAATATGTAAGGTATCCTTCCCTCCTACTATTTACACATTTCTTGCTTGTTGGCAACATTGTTTTCTGTGTATAGTCTTTGGAAGTGGGGGAGGAGGTTGTTTTTAAAAATTTGTTTGGGTCTAAACACCATGTATTAATTTAAAAATCAAAGTACCAATTTGTAGGGAAAATGTTTTCTCTAATAGGCATGAGCCACAGTGCTAGCAGATGTTTCTTTAACCTGCTACATCTGAGAGCGTGTCTGGAGGGCTGGTGTGTGTGGCTTTGATGACACAAGCTTTGGTAACCGTTTGGGTGCATTCTGAGTGTGCTTTTATGAAGCAAGGACTTTAGTAGTAGACAGCACCAAAATTACATAATGCAACTTGTTGTAATTACTGGGTAGAATGTTCAGGGAGCAGTTCCTGTAACATCATGTAAAATAATGCTCTTCTGTCTATTCAAAAGGCCAGGAGAAAGAGACTACTGTTTTACTTAAAAGTATTGAGTGTCCTGCAGGTCCTTTGAATGCCTCAGCCTCTAAAAATAAGGTCTTTTTTTAAAAACATTCCTAAAAATAGACTTGAAGTCTAATATTAATCTCCTGGAAATACATCTTCAGATCTGTAATGTTAAGTGAAATTTGCAGGGTACTCGGAGGTTAGAATGTAGGATTCTCTACATATTCACTGCTGCTTCTTGACTGGGGTTTTCCTGAGCTTTCCATGTAAGCATCTGTAAGGAGGATGAGGAGAAATGGACATTTGTTTAGCCTTTCCTGGATTCCTGCTGTCAGAAAACTGGCCATTGCTTGTGCAGGGAGATAGCCTGGTCTCACCTATCAGCTCATTTCTGTGCACAGCTCTTCCTCTCAGACTGAAAACCAGGTAGTTGTGGGGCTGCTGCTGCTGTCACAGGTCATGTTCTGGATTTCAGTGCTTAGCCCTCAGCACTCTTAGGCTTGAGAAAAGGGTGTCTCGCCCTTCTGTGCTCTCTGCATCCTCTCTTTCTGAGCATACAAAACACAGCAGAATTGACACTCTCCAATGTAAGGACAGGTTCCCGAGTTGAAAGCAAGGAGAATTTTCTGAGCTGTTTAGGTTTCTAAAGGTCTATCATTGAATTAATGACATGCTGGAGCCAGAAGGCGCTGGTCATATTAAAAGAGAAGGGAAGATGTGTTCTGGTTTTGTTCCACATGGTCTTTCATTTTCTTTTCCTCCCATTTTCCTTCTGTCCTTTCCATATGCAGTTGTGTTTAAAAATATGTCTTTTATTGACCATTGTTTTGTGGATGCTGCCAGATATGGCTGTAGGTTTGGGGATTTGACCAAGTTCTATAAAAGTCAATTGAATGTAATGACTCCACTAGCTGCCAATGAAGATAAATTGAATTCTTTGTAGAGTTTGCAAGGGCTGCCAAAGGTATCTCATTTCTTTATTTTAATTTTTGTATGTCTGTGTATAATTCTTGCAACACAAAGTATTAAAATTTTGAAATGTGAAGTTTCATTCTATTTCTTCCATCTCTTAATTAAAAATATGTAAGATGTCAAGCACAGTAAACCTGTTAAGAAAAAGCTGACACAGTTAGAAGTCCAGTTATGGCCAATATAACTTGCCTTCTGCACTGTACTTTAACAGTCTTTAATTATGCGATAACATAAAATTTAAACACAGATACCCCTCACTTACATTTTTTTCATCAGCCACAGGTGACGTGTAACACTGTTCTATGTTTGACAGTACAAGAAAAGAATGTCCCTGCCTATATTACAGTTTTAATGAATGTCAGGAAATTATAAATCATTTGCATTAGTTACTGTGAATTTAATGCATTGTTAAGGTGTCAAGAGACTTAGCTGGTCGATTCCCGTGGCTGTGAATTAAACAGTGATAATGAGACAATTACTTAGTTAAGTTATGATATTAATTATTTTGCTGAGTTGTGATTAATATATTATTAAAAAGAAAAAATATTATATATGTGGAAACATGAGTTTTTATGGCAGCTTCCAATTTACTAACACTGACCAAAGTCAAATAAATAATAGAAATAATTTCCAAAGAGGGATCTTACAAGTGATTTCATACCCTTTTTAGAATACTTTCAAGAAAAAATACGTTGTTTTCTTGATTGTATCTTTGTGTTTGAGGACTGGTACAATTGTAAATACAAGCAATTCTTAAGTAGCTAATAGTCAAACCAAGAGCTTGTATAAGTCTTGATTTTTTTTTTCTCCTTTTGTTTTACATTTTTGTAGTTAATAATCAGGTAATGAGAAGCCTTGATTCCTCTAACTTCCACAGTGGTGATGGGGAAAAGAAGTACAGTGTTCTCATCCAGATTACTTATTTTTTGTTACAACGTAAAGGAGTTCTTCAAGACAGATGCTATGCAAAAGTCATGAAACAACTGTTCCTGTTTTAAGGAGATCTATTGGAATATGCATTTTTTTAAAAGAAAGAATAATTACACAAGGTTTAAAGCATTACCTGCTCCAGCACCTGGCTTTAAGTATTTTTCCCTAGGATAACTTGACATAGAAGAGTTTGTTTGGTGTCCATTTGGCCTGTATACACGAGCATCAAATTTGAATTCTGAACACCATGGACTTGCTGCATGATATGTCTGCTAAATCCAGTGAGTCAGAGAAGTCCAGTCCAACACTTAGTGCGTATGTGTGGGGTATAGTGTGTCCAGAACACACCCAAATTGTGTGCTGCAGAACATGGCATTGGATTAGAACATCTTGGTCTGCATATGAGCTTCCAGTGGTGAGATTCCTGCTTCCTCTGGGGCATAATTTCCACGTAGAAAAAGAGGACATCGCCAGAGGCACTCCAGGTGTGTAATGTCCCTTACTCAGCAAATCAAATGAACAGGTGCTGAAATGTTGGCTCTTCAAGCAGTCCCAGTAGAATTATTGCAGAAAAATGTGCATGTTTACAACAAAATGAAAGTGGGAAACACTGAAAAAAAGCCCCAAAGGCAACCAAGATATTCTAATTCGAGTATATCACAAAGCAATTTTTCTGCAATTTTTTTAGTTAGACAGTATATTTGATGCAATTCATAAGGTGACTTTTCAAACCCACTTGAAATGTTTGCATTTTCATGGTGAGATTCTTCCATCTTAGCATATATATCACAAAGTTATTGGTTATTCTTGGTTTTATATTCAGTACTTTTCTAGTATTTGTAGATAGCTGAGTAAGTCAAACACTCAGAGTGAGTGTTACTCATCAGCAAAAATGGATGGTATTGAATAGTGTCATTGGAAGCAGAAGCCTAAACAAAATTCCCCACTTGATTTGAAAGGCAAGCTTTATTTCTGCATTTTAGCACCGATGTATTTAATGTAGTTTTTTCTCTTTTTGTATGTTTCTTACCAGGATTGCTGTCTTAAATCTTAGGCTTGAAAGTTGACTGTATAGAGCATGATCTTCCTATTATTGAGTACTGTATTTGAGAACTATGTGGAAGATAATTTTTTTTATTAGGTTTTTTTGATGGATTTCAACAGCACTTAGACATATATAAAGTGAGCGTGCACCAGGTTTGATTGTTTCCTTGTGCTGCCAAGTAATTTTCCTTCCTTGTTTGCTCAAGGCTTTCACGGATCAACAGAGGAATCAAAAATCGCGAAAAGTGATAGAAATTTTTTTGCCAAAATCTTAAAAATTGACAAAACGCTCAGAGGAAATCATGTTGTCTGAAGAAGGTACTTAACCTTTTCAGGCTAGTATATCTGCCATTAAAATATCCTTACAAACCACTCTTTCCACGCTGTGGTGTGTGCTGGAAGAGGCACAGTTAAATGCTGTGCAGCTGCTATGGCATGTGCCAAAGTTTAGACTGAGCTAAGTGAGGCTTAGAAGCTATCTTTAGCATACAGATGAGTGATACTATCCCAAGCATGCACTCTGTCTTCTTACCTGAAAATCTGATGCTATCACATAAAATAACAAGTATCAAGCAGCACTGTTTTGTTCTCTACATGAATTATGCTGATTTTAATTATCAGTCAGAACATTAAAAAACAGATCGCTTTCTGACCCTTTGCATGTTGAATTGTTGGGAAATAATTTGTTTGGTTTTTGCACTGCTTGGCACCAATTTCATGCTTTTCAGTTGTATGCCATTACAAAGTACATCTTCTTCCATTTTCCAATGTTCTGACATCATCAAATTCTAGTCACTACCCAGTTCTTCAGTGCTCTTGTTGCTAAGAGCCTCAACTCACAAGGCAAAAGGAAGTATGTGCATGTGAAGAAAAAAATCTGGTATTATTTCCAGCTTCTTCCTGCTGTTTCTGGTGTGGTCCATGTTGGAGGTTAGGGAACCAAGAAGTTGTGTTAATCTCAGAGCTCTCTGGTTTAAGCCTTTGAGAATGAAATGGTTTCTAGACCCTCAGCTTGCAGATCTTAAAGATGCAGCCAGATGCAGCTTTGTTTACTAAAGAGCCAAGGACACATTGAACAAAGCTGCAGAACTGCCTCCTTTATAACTCTTTGTGAAGGAATATCAGAGGAAAGAAAATGCATCGAGGAATGTGAGGTGGACAGTGAAGGAAGCTAGGGGAGGAAGAAAATAAAGTGTCAGAGAAGGAGAAGGTGATAAGAAAAAAACTGTAAAGTGGAAGACAGGGAAAAGGGAAAAGAGAAAGGCAGAATGACCTGGAAAAGAAAAAAAAGAGATGGTGTTCCTGTGAGTTCTGTGGATCATACTCGGCACATCTGTCTTAATGTGGTTTGATGTTTTGTCATAATGCTGATATGGTACATCAGTGTACAGTGTAGTGGTTTGTAATGCAGCAGATTAACCTCACAATGTGCTGTTTTACAGGTCCTCAATAGCTTCTGGAGGGTTACAATCAGGACAATAATACCAATAGAGAGGGTAATGCTGCAGGTGAGGTGTAAATAGATGAAAGAGACAGCATGTGATGAGAGACATAAATGGAGAAGACAGAAAAACTGGAAGAAAACTGAAGAAGGGACAGGAAGAGGTTCATGAACAGACAGCTTTCCAGAAACAAGCCTTTGTTCTTTTATGGACAGTAAGTACTACTGGCAGAAATGCTATCTTTAGTGGGGAGGTGAGAGGAGCTACGAACGCTAAACTCACTGACCTCAGATGAAAAACTGAGGGTGGAAGTAGAAATCATACTTAGCAGAGGTATACTAAAGCAGGAAAAAGTGAAGGTACATTACTACCTAAAAATGTGATAGGGTATGTTACAGTGACCTGTGCTGGAAAGGTAAGACAGACATTCTCTAGCACTTGATCTGAGTAGGTGTAACACACAAAACATGTCTGCTGTTTGGAAAATGAAGATAACGTTTTTCCTCCAGGGAAGCATACAGCTCAGCAACTGTTAACTGGGCACCTGCAGTGCATTTAAAAAAAAAAAATAAAAGGGCAAGGCACACAGATTTGGGGCTTTTTTCCATGCAATTTTTTTGTGAGAAATTTGTTGTTTTACAAATGGAGTAATTTTTTTTCCTTTTCCATTCACCATTTTCCTTCTATTTTTCAGCCTTTTATGACTAAAACCAAATTCAGATCCTTTCTTTTCAGTCTCCTCTTTTCAGTCTTGGACCTTCTGAATTAAATGCTGCAATATTAGCTGCCTGCAGTTCCTGTGATTGGACTCCATGGGTGGCCTGAGTAATTTTCAGACAATGGAGCTGGTTCTTTTCTCACTCACACCAGTGTAACTCATTGGCTTCAGCAGAGTTACTCTTGATTCACAATGTTGTGAAAGAAGAATTGTGCTTGCTCTTTCATGTGTTCTTTAATCTCCACGATATTTTTGCTTACATGTATAATTGATTTTCTGGAAATATCTCCTGCTGCTGACAGGTAGACCTAGGAACTTCCTAAGACAGAAATAAATGAAAGCATTTTTTAGGTCACTGAATTTAATCCACTGCTTCTACAACACTATGTTATATAATTTCTTTCATAAACTGCTCAGGTTTTAAACATTCATCAAGGCTCTGTTCTTACTACAATGGGTAAGTTCAGACAAAAAGGTTAGTTACATCCTGTGTAAGTTTAAAACCACAACTGAAATAATTTTCAAATGCTCTAAAAGTATTTTCCTTTCTCACATATGTCTCACTTTTCAGTACAGCAACCACGATAAAGGCTTCATTCTTGGCAGAAGGAGGCTCAGCTCTGGGAAAGCACAGCTCTGAAATTGCAGGCATACTTTGGAAAGGTTACTGTGTATTTTTCTATTCATGGTCACATCCCTCTTGCAGATTTTAGTGGGAGCAGTCATCTGACAATAAATTTTTACCATACCTGAAGTGCCACTCTGGAAGTAATTCCAGAAGGAGAAGGTTATGGAACAGGTGTGTACAACTTGGCTGAGGATGGATTACTGCAGACTTTGACTTACTTATGTTGGGCTGCCTTCTCCTTACCAACCAGTTCATTTTATCCAAATTTGTTCCTCGTTTATGGATTTGCTGGGTCTAATTGACATGCAGCTGAAAATCACCAAGATGTTTAATTGTAATTAAAGCGTAGATGAAAAGCAGAGCACAATTTTTCTCTTACATAGTGTAAATAAGGTGATTCAGCTGAAGCCAAGAGAATTATGCTGCTACCCACCAGTGCTACTGTGATACCTTCCTGTCCTTCCTACTTTTTCTATGATCTTTCAGCATATGTGCCCCTGTTGACATGGAATATAATGTTATTTTTTGCCCCGTGTTGCTAAATCTCGGTTCTGCAACTCATCTTAGCAAGCCCATTGCTCATACTTCCCTTTCGTGCTGAGGCTGAAGCTTGTCTTCAGAAGTTGCAGTTGTTACTGAGAAAGTTCTTGACAGTTGTCATTTGGCAGTGGTGACTCTGGTTTGCAGTAGCTGGAAAGTGGTGGCTGCACATCCCAATGGAGAGAGGAAGATGTGTATTAGTTGTGAAAGCCAAACTGCGGTCACTGTATAGCAGCCAGGTGGCTGTGGCACTGCTCTGGTGACTTTTTGTCCCACCCTTTGCCTATTCTCTTTCTGATGCAGAAAAAGGTGCACCAGTTGCATTATGCAAGCACAGTAAGCCTCATACTTTTAGAACTTGCTGGAAATGCTCAAAGTAAAATCCCAGATATACAGACAGTTCTCAAAATCTTCCTGAAGAACACTTCTTTTTGGAAAAGAGGGTAGACAAGCAATCTAAGGCAACCTGGATTTATGGTAGATATATCTAACCATGTCTGCAGGCCTTTCTGCTACTACAATGCCTTCGTGCCCCCAGAACCAAATTTTCTTTATCAGAAGTCTGAGAGATACCCTGCTGTACGCTCATGTGGAGAGCAGTCAGCTCTGGAATCCTCAGTGCACCACCATTCTCAGCTTTACAGTTGGCAGCTCTCAACCCAGCACGTGTTGTTGGGCTGTTGAAAGAGGGCATTGCCTCTGGTCATGATCTGCTTTGTGCTCAACAACTGCTGATGGCAGGCCAAGGAGAGAGCAGTGAGGCAGGTCAAACTTGTTTCTTTCACCCACGCAGCACTGGGCCGAAGGAACTGTTGGGTAGGCTGTGAGCTACACAGGCCTGATTACGGAGGTTTTGGGGAAAGTCTGGTTTGTCTTTTCCCAGCTGCTTCCTAACCTGTAAGTGCAGGTTGTTTTGAGGCTTAGAACTCTGATGGGTGATCTCTGGCAGAGTTACCTGTTCAGTTCAAGACATTACCACTCTCAATTGTCTGTTTTACCCAACTACTAGGTATTACCACACTCTTATGATGGGAGACTCTAGGTCATAGGCTGGCATGCTAAAAAACCACCTACTTTCATTGCTCTGCTCTCCTAGAATGATCATGACCTCAGGCAATTGAGAGAAATAGTATCTTAAAATGTAGGAGCTAAATCTGCCAGAACTTGTTGTTCAGAGTTTTTGGTTCTTAACCGTGAATGGAAAGAGTCCTTGCCAGTGCCTGCAGGCCTGAGGACAACCATTGCTTTTACTGCCACTGAGATCCTCTGTCACCCCAGAGGTCCGCTGCTTGTCTGTATGGAGTACTGGTGTTGTTACAACTTAAAAGGGCAAGGAGTATGTATAAAAGCACTTCAAAGTCAATGATACTGTACTAAGAAAAAGTGAGGGTTGTTCTTTGGAAGGTGAATTATTGAAAAAAAAATTCTCTTGGAATTTTTATAGTTTATGTCATCTTGAAAGTGGTTTATGATCCCACCATGGAGTTCTTAGATTTTAGTGGTTGTTCTGATTCACTAAAAACTGCAGACGTAGTAGAAAAATAGGTTGAAGTCTTAATTTATATGAGGAATAAAATTATATCACATCATTATCACAGTAAAAGATGAGGTTTTAATCTTAATTTCACTAAGAAATGGTGTTGCTATGATATACCTGTCTTTATTTGTCCATCTGTTTCTGGAACGGAAGAAGACTGGAAGCAGGAACGGGATCTCCTCCTTCACTTGTCTGAGGACGTCTTGTGGAATTTTGTTAGCAAAAAATATTTTAAAAGCTAGTCAATTGTAGGACTCAAGTCCTTAGGAAATCAAACTTCAGTAGTTCCGATGTTTACATGTACACTTACCTGGCTGTTGATTCAAGTTCAGCAACGGAATAAGCCAAGCTGGCTGGAAACAGTTACGGATGCTGGCAATGCGCCCTGCCCACCTCCTACAGGTTACCACTTCTGCAGCAGGAATGGCTCAATGCCTTGTTAATCAGCATCTGGGTTTCTGCATTTCCCAGACTGGCCTATTAAGGCAAGCCAACATCAGTTTCTGTTCAGGCTTAGGCCATAGCATTCCTGCCGTGGGAGATGTCTTGCATGAGCGATCACTGTACACACAGGGGTAGATGATTTCTTTCTCAGCCAAAGCTTAATCTATAGGGTGAGATACATATGAATGCCTTTAACATTATTTTGTTTGAGAGAGGAGAATTTTTATATTATTGATCTGAAAGATCAGCAATGCTTAACGGAAACGTAAAATTGAGGTGGTTTAGGATGTGGATGATAGAAGGATGCCAAGAGGAAGAGAGTCATGGCCATTATGTTTTCTAGTCTGTAAAAGACTAAGTCTATCCATCATATTTGTCAATGTAATTTTGTTTCTGTTTGATTTTTTAAATACAACAGCTCAAAAATGTAAAATAAAAAATACTTTGTTGTAAATCACAACATTTAGTTTAGAAAATAGCAAATATTGGCAATACCTGTTCTCTGTACGATGGGTGCGTTCCCTATGACCCTGTGCACAAATAGATTCCTAGCGCACGAACGGTCACATCAGCATTTTTCCCGTGATATATTTCAGACAACGGGGCATAGTGACCAAAATGTTGTTGGAAGGTGAGACGCTGTGCTTTACCGGCGCTCTTGGCCTCCCAGCGCCTACGCCGTTCTCAGCCATGTCCATGTAACGGAGTTTGGGGGCCCGTGAGCCCCCCGTGGCAGCTCGGGGGGCGGCCGGGGGGGCTGGGGGAGCTCCGCCGGGCGCCGGTACCGCCGGGCCAAGCTGAGGAGCGGCAGGGCGGTCCCGGGCTGTTCCCGCGGGCTATGGAGCCCTCGGCCCGGCCCGCGGGGCCGCAGCGGGGAGGGGGCGGGCGGCAGGCGCCGGGCCAGCCGCGTCCCCCCGCGGGCGGCGAGCCGATCTGGCGGCAGGTGGCGGCGGCGGCTCGGCCCCTTTAAGGCTCCGGCTGCCGTAACCCGATCCCAGCCGGAGCATCCTGCGCCCGGGAAGGGCTGTCCCGTCCCCGATGGAGGAAGCGCCGCAGCCCCCATAGCCCCGCTCCCAGGTGCGGCGAGCGGGGAGGGGCGGGCGGTGGGCGCTGAGGGGCCGGGGCCGGGCGGGGCGGGGGCGGGGCGGTCTCTTTTCCCCCGCCCCGCGGGGCTGCGCGGAGCGGCCCCTTCCCTCCCTCCCTCCGTCCGCGCTGGTCCGCCCCCGGGGGCCGAGGGCCGCAAGCCGCAGCCGGCGGCACTGGGCGCGCTGACAGCGCTCGGCACCGCGGCTGTCGCGCTCCTCCCGCCGCCCGGCAGCGGCAGCGGGTGCGGGCGCGGGCGGAGCGAGCGCGGCGGGTGAGCGAGCGCTGCCCGCCCGAGCCGTGCGGGGCTGCCGGGGCGAACGGCGCCCGGGGAAGGTGAGGAGGTAACGCCCGGCACGGGGGCAGCGCCCCGGCCCCGCGGGGTCGGCCTGGGGGGAGCGGGGTGGTCCCTCGCCGTGGCTTCGCGGCTCCCGGTTCCTTGGAGGGTTTGAGGAAATTCGGTAAATGGTGTCGCGGCGGACCCCTCAGCCTTTATAAAAAGTGTGCCTTATCTGCCGGTGGCTCTGGTGTTCTAAGAGGGGAAAGCAGAGTGGAGTTTGGGGGTGAATAGCCTTAAATACAAAAGGGAATGGCTTAAGCTGTGAGTAGCTTGAATTTTGTCGTGTTTCTCCTTAATGCTGCTTACTGAGCTAAGATATCAAACGCAGTACATCTAATCTAGCTGGAGCAATAGAAACTACTCTTTAGAGCCAACAGCACAGCAAAGCTCCAGCACTGCAGATGTTTTATTACTGGGCTTATTTTAAAATGTGCAAACAGTCCAACGTCGCTTGCTGCAGATTGGTGTGACAAGTTTTACAACTATGGGATTTGGCTTTCAGTTTTAAGCGGATCAGGAGAGCATAGGACTGAATGGGATGTCCTGGTATCACTAGCAGCTTTAGATTGTAATCTTGTTTGGAAATTGATCCAATTCATCTTGAAATCCAGTCTTGAAGAAAGTAAGGGCTGTGGGCCTTCATCTGCACCTTCTTACCATGTCTTGTGGTTATACTATTGCATTTCTTATTTTTATGATGTGAAAAATTGATGTGGAAACAGTAAGATGAGGGGGACATAAATGTTAAATGCCTTTGATGGTACAATGCTTGGTAACTCTTCTGCTCCTTTATCCTGTTCCAGTAGGTGCAGACTTGTTTCTGTCAGAAGTTCCTAGTGTTTTCGTATTGGCAGTGAATGAATGTGTAGTCTTAATATTGTTGTGCATTTTCTTCCAAATTTCATGTAGAAACAGAATTTCAGGAAAACCACTGCATGTTAATAGCAGATGAAACCCAACATTTTTAGCTCTTACTGAGTATGATGGAAAAGTTGTGTGTTATTAACTTCTTTGAAGTTAATGGTTCAATAGAGTAATTTGAAATCACGCTAGACATATGTAAGCAATACCTTGCTGAAAATTGTTACTTGCAAGTGTTTGGTAGTGTTTATTTACCTGAAGACTTCACTGAAAAGCTGCAAGAGTGAAGTTCTGACCCTGTGTAATTATTGTCTAACTGAATAGCTAAGACAGTAATTTTGGCTAAGCCAGGGAAATACTACTCCTAAAAAACTAGTGGTGAAGAACCAACCTGGATATAGTACTTTTTTTCCTGAATTACAAAGTAGTTACACTAAACCTCCCTCCCCACCCAGCCTTCCACTAGCTCAAAACCCATATCAGCTGACTGAATGGTAATCAATGACTATGCAGTTTGGGTGATAAAGTGTCTGCTCCTGTATAATCCACTAAGTTCTGTAACTTGATCAGACTTTGCTGGACAGCTATAAGAAGTTACTTGGGGAACAAAGGCACAATGTAGTTGAAGCTGCCTTTGACTTACTAATTTTGGTCACTGTCCTCAGGGCAAAGAAATTGTATGTAATCAGAAGCTTGTTATATTTCTTCTAAGTCATAACCTTTTGTTTGACAACATGAATGTTTTTCTTGTAAATTAAAAGAGAGTCTGCTAAACAACAGTTAATTTTCATGTTAAACAGCATGTAGTTGAAAATGACTAAGAGATATGAAAAAATGTTTATAGCTGAACTGTTTTTTTTGATCTCACATGAAACACTGTATTTACACATGGTCCTTGAATTGAGTTAAAATACAACACTGTTAATTTGCTGAAGTAAAACATGAAATTATTCCTGGACTTGGTAGTTCATTTACTTAAACAGCATCTTGATAAGCTTGTATGAAATCAGGCTTGCAAAACTTGAGTATCTATGAGACCAACCACAGAGGCTGACTGACTGTAGTTTCTTTGCCTCTCTTTTCTTCTTCTCTAAGCCATCATACCTTTCTCCTTCGCGGGTATTGTTTTGTATTTGCTGCTGAAACTTCTGAAAGTCGGATCAGGCACTTCCAGTGGAAGTCCCTTTTCTTAAAAAAAGGGCCCTGTACAAGTTTCTTAAGAGAAAGATTAGTCTTCTAATGCATTTCTTGCAAGGATTGGTTAGAAGGCTTTTTTGTTTAATTCCATAATTTGTACTAAAATGAACACCTGTCAAACACTGAAACATTATTTACATAATAAAATCTTCTGGTACTAAGGAAGCGAAACAAAACATGGCTTTCTCTTGTCCAAGAGATTATGTCAGTGTCTTTGAAACTCAGAGGTACTAGTGTAGTCATTGCAGGTGAATAAAATTTGTAGCATCATGGAATTGCTATATTTTAGTCAAAAGAATGAGGTAGGTGTGATTGATGTTCAGTGATTTGGCTGTTTTTCTGAAGAGAATTGTCCTTAACCTGGATTTTGGCTTCCTTCACTTTAGGAATTAAATCAACTGATTATTTTTCCCTCCTTACATAGTCCAAGAGAGATTTGGTTACTACAAATCAGGTGATGTAATAACAAAGTTTTTGGCCCTGGGATTAGAATCTGTAACATAGAGTGCTTCTCAGTGGGTTTAAAATGGAAGATTGTTTCTTCAGTTAGTAAAGTTTTAGAAAATCAAGCTTAACACCCATTGGCTCAGGTACTTTAAACTGTGTAAAAATTGGATAAAGTTTGATTTGTGTTTTGTATCTTCTTGGTCAGTGGAAGCAGAGGGAGAAGTACATGGAGAATACTGAATATCAGGATAGTAATTGGAATTTGAAGTTTTAATAGAGTAACATTAAAAACTATGCAGGATTAGTATGCTGCTGAACTAGAACAGGTAATCAGAAAACAACTGGAATCAACTAGTTTGATGCAATGCAGTGCAGCTGTCCCAGAGCACATGCAAGCCCTAGATAGGCCCTAGGAGCACATCAAATACGTTCTAAGAACTGTGGAGTCCTTAGGACAGGATTAAAGCTGATCTGAAGTAAACACATGAAATCCATATGATATGGGTGCAGGTTTAACTTAGCAAATCTACCTATTTGTCCTACATTCTGTTTATATAGCTGTAGTTCCATGGGTACCAGTCAGAGGATGTTTTTTGCTCTTCAATTTTGGGGAGAATAAATAGAAAAGAAGGAGATGGGGGGGGGGAAGAAGTTTGAGGTCATCAAACCTTCTGCTTCTACATCGTTGAAGACACAAGTATTTTTTTTTCTGATCTACCTGTTTCAATATACTCACCATTTACCTTGCAAAGTGAGAATATTGTACTTAATTTTAGAAAAAGTTATTATTTTCACTGGTGGACTTCTCTTTCTGTTTCTTTTTCCTGCTGAAGTTCAAGTTTCTTACCACCTGCAATGCAGATACAGTTCCAAAAATCTAAGGCATGTTCGTTCACTCATACCATAATGCATGTGAAATAAAGGTGGGCATAAGTGTATTATATAATTGTATCATTTTTGCTGACCATTCAGTTGCTGTAGTAACATTAAATTATGCTATCATATAAGCCCTAATTTTATTTTTATATATTTTCATAAGTAAAATCAAAGTGAGAGCAGTTATTTGAATAGATACTTAAATCATTATTTAAATATTTTAAAGGAAGACTTCTGCCTTTTTTTTTTTCCTTCTCTGTTTGACTTAATGTAACTTGATGTTTTATGAGTTTGGAACCTCTGCCAGTCTTGGAGTATAAAACACATCACCATCAAATTGGAGATGTATGTCAGAAGTTTGTGGCTTCTGGGAAAATACGATTCTGTCTTGCAAATACTGGCAACTCATGGGAAATGACTGAAGCATTGAGAGACTGACACTTATGTTTGGAATTGTTGAACTATTTATTTAGACCTCATGAAACAGCTAAAAATCCAGCAACTGAAAAGTCCACTAGCTCTGATGATAGGAAGCTTTTCAGTATGCAGTGAAACTGTGTGAAGTTTAGACTTCAGTGATGAAGAAAAGATCTCAAATACAGACGAGCCCTCAAGTGTGAACACAGTGCAAATTGAGAACTATTGTCTCTGTAAAGTACACAACCAGAAAGCTGCAGTGAGGCTATTGCTTCTCGAGGCTGACGCAAAAACCTCTCTACTCTGCTTATCTGATTTCATTGTTGTGTTTTAGAATCCCATTGGCAGCAGTCAATCTGGTAAGAAAGAGACGAGTTTTAACTCTGGAGCTTCCTGAGACAGGAGTGGAGGCTTTAGGGCTGGCAGTTGCACTGGTCATTGGTCCTCCCTGCCCTTTCTGTAAAGATAAAATACGTGCAACTTCGGGTCACAAAAATGTATGTAGTGTGTGTATGTTAAAAACAAAACCAAATGTGACTTCTAGATATAAAACTTTGGGCAAAATTTTATACTATTAAGGCTTAAGTAGAAACACTGAACAGGTTGAAACTTTTAGTGAATAATATTTCTGTTGGTAAGTTATCTGTCAAAAACACTTTCTGTGTCTGCTTAAAATAATTAAATGGAGAATGGACTGAAATTACCTTCTGCTTCTCTTCACAGGCTGAAGAACAATGGCTTCCTTCAGCAACCTGACTATTGGCATTGCTGTTGCCAGTTTTACTGTATTTCAGCTCCTCTTCCATGTTGTAAGTTCCTGGGTGTCAACACGAATAACACCTGGTTTTAAAAATCTCAGCCAAAAAAGGAAGATTGAATGGAATTCAAGGTAGGGTGTTCAAAACAACTACAGCTAGTGACCTACCTGAAATCATCAACACCTGAACAACCTATGTGTATATATATAAGACTGCAGAAAACCTTATTAGTTAATTATTAGTTAAACATGTGTAAAGATCAGAGGGCTGGCTTCAAGCGCTCGACAAATTATGCATGTGAAATGTTGAACCTGCTTGATGAACACACAGCATTACAAACACTTGTCCATTAAACACTTTGTTAAACAGTGATGCCAGAGTGAAAGTCAGTAAAAAAAGAAAGCAGTGCCTGGTGAGAAGTAATATGCTGAAGTGACACTCTAGTGAAGTGACTCTAGTAAAGAGAAGAGATAGGAAATTCCATTCCAAACTTCTATGACAATCAAAACTATTGCAATTTATTGCATTATCTAAATGCTAGTGTATCTATGGTTATGCTTTTGGGTGCAGAGCAGTTTGCTGTCTGTTTCCTTGTGCTACTACACTACTAACTGTTTTATGTAAGTCATGGTTTTCCAAGAAATTTAATGAAGTTTTGGTATAGTATTTAAGAGAGTCAGGTTTGACAGGTAATGTGTGTTGGTAGGAAAGGAGACTTCAGTAAGAGGAAGCTATGGCAGACACAGGGTATACATTCAGGAAAGAGTTGTGGCAACTCAATGTGAAAATCTTCCTCACTCCTTTTGGGTTTCTGCATTCCACCACTGGGATGGACTCACCTACATTACACTTATTTCCTCATATAAAGCACTGTTAGAAACTTGTTCAACCCTGTGATTCTTTCCTGGGCACTTTCCTCTCTCTTAAGCCATAAAGGAAGTATAGGGTACTAATTGCGAATGGGATGATCAGTGAGGTTTTATTTGCAATATTCTACTCTGAGAGGGTATATGTAGTACACAAGGTTCTCCAGTTCAAATGAATTGGTACAGTACAACTTTGTTTGAGTAGCCTATTACGACTTTAAAATATTTTTTCAGACGTTTATCAAATTCGAAGCTCAAAAACATGTACTGTATGGCTGTCACTGCACTCAAAATGCATTAGTTGCATCATTGTTCCTCCTCAGTGATATTTAGAGGTAGTATCAGGTGGATACTTTTAAAGTTGTTTCTATTGTTGTAAGCAGCATTAGTGACTCAAATAGTCTTGCCCTTCCATTTGGCAAATGTCCGCTTGCATTGTTCTTAAAGGCAGCATCTTAATTTCAGTTCCATCTTTGAATAAGTACCTATTTTCAGAAAAACTTTGTAGGATGGCAGTTCATAATATCAGTGCAGCTTAGGTTTATCTCTCTGTTACAACTGATAATAGAGGCAGACAGGGAAACTAAACTGTTAGCATTTGGAGCTGAACTTCTGTCTCTAAGCCACATCAAGTGGCCCTTGAATTGCATAATAAGCTTTGTGAGAACTTACCCCATGCCTGGTAGCGCTGTGCTGGTGCAGTGCTTTGCATAATAACATGAATTGTTTCGCTCATAAGAAGTGTGCTGGAAATAAGCTGCTCCATAATCTCTAGGCTACTTTGTAGTAAGATGTTTAACTGCTCAAGTTGATACAGCATCCCAGGCTATGTCCTCTTTTACTTCTTTCTGCATTTTTTCTTGGAGCTGAAAGCAGGATGTAGATGTTGGCAAAGAGATGAATTGTGATCCAGAGCTTCATCAGTTTCAGGAGTTAGAAGGCATGAAACACAAACCATTGCTCATCAACAACTTGTAGATGTTATACCTGAGGAGGGCATGAAGTGAAAGAAAGGCTAACTGTGCTTGTGCTACTTCAGCTCTGCTAACCAAACAGTATTTTGTCAAACTGCCTCATAACTCCTGTATTTCACCAAAATTAAGAGACACCTCAAGGCGCATCTTGTAAATTCAGAGAGGGTAGATGGATATATATTTATTCTGCAGATAGCTCTGCAGGTAAAGTTACTATCTCCCAATAAAATGAGTTGGGTTAACTTAAATGATTTAAAAGTGGGTGGTTGTTATTTTGTCCTGTATTGAACTGGTGTAGGGAGGGCACACACAAATGATTCAGTTGGCAGTCCTGAAGGAAACTGGCACAGAGGATGGTTATGCATTTTTATCAGCTCAGCTGGGTCTGGAAGAGTGCATCTGTCCGAAATGAGCTGTAGCACTGAAAATATATTGTTACAGTTTGGAGGGCTTTGTAATTAAGTATTTGAGCTGCAGCTCTTTCCATACTGTCAATCTGTTTATTCTGACCTTCCAAGAATTAAGAACCAGTAAAGTAAGTGGTTCTGGCATCTTAAGTATGCTGATGCTCAAAATGAGTTAAAAACTATATTTTGATATAGATGTACTCTTCAAGTTGTTGTGCATAAATTCCTGTCACCTCTCCTATAATACATGTTTGTACTGCTATTAAGTAGTTGTGAAGGAAAAAAAGTATAAACGAAGGAACAAGTATGCACTGCTGAGTTGCAACTTTTTTGTTTGCAGTTTAATGAGGAGTTAAAGGATGCAAGCTTTGACAGTAATTTCAAGGAAATGTACGGAGCTTGATAGCTTGACCTAGATTCCATATTAAAATGCAGTGTTGTACTATTTCCCTTCTTCTGTCCTGTCTTTTATGGAGAAACTTCAAAGTCCAGAGTTAAGGAGGAAATCTGCTTCTGCTGCTTTTTTTAAATTTTATTTCTCCCCCTTCAAGTGCTATGCTTGTGTCTAACTTGTATTCTGAACACTTAGGTTTGGATAAACAGCCACTCCAGAGACAAATGCAACTGTAAACTCATGAGTATATTCTAGGACAAATTTTCCTTCTTGCAGCATTATCCTCTCCTCAAGTTCAAATATTCCAGATATTTCTTAAACACTAATACTGTATGCCTTACTTTGTTTTAAAAAAGGAAGCAAAGTTCCTATCTTTGTTAATTCTGTGTTGCAAGAGTAGATCTTTTAATTAAACTATTAATTGTCATTAAAATTGCAATAATTAAATTTTCTTCCTTTGTTAAAAAAAAGGGGGTGGGGAGAAGTGTAGCCTATGCTATAATGGCTATTAATTGTTCTCATCTACCTTCTCTTACATTTGACTATTCATATTATATTAATCTCCATTAATTTTCTGGAACACTATTGAAAAAGCTGCTGAAAATAGCACAGTGACACTCTTGAAACAAATTGTAAATAGAGTCGTCTTTTATGAAAAGTTACAGAATTTTCTATTGCCGATAGGTAACAATATAACTTCTGGAAACAGAATAGCGATTATAACCTACTCTTTCTTTGCAAAGTCTTCCACAGGAAGGAAGATGTTTTCTTCAAATCTTGAATGGTAAGAGTTTAGACTCCTGAGAGTGCCTTAAGGACATTTAAAATATTAGTGACCTCCAAATACATGTATTCAATATGTACAAAGACTAGTCTAGTAACTAACAGCATTTGTACATTTGTGTGCATATTGTTAATGCTGTGGATATGGTATGAAGGTGTTTCCAATCACACAGCATTGAACCTAGTTCTCATCTTTCAAACAGTATCCATGATTCAGTACAGCTGTTTTGTCACATAATTTTTCTGTATTCCTAGTCACACTTGAAAAGTGGGAAAGCAGACAGTAGCTACACAATATTAGATGCAATTTATAGCAGTGTTACACCTATGGCTAGAGCAGAAAAGTTACACAGTTTGGCGCCATGCCCATTGCATTGTTCTATCTTCCAAGAATACATGTGGATTCAAAGGGCAGGAGTGGTCCTGGCCTGTGTGCTGGCAGAAACCCTGCTGGTGCCTCTGTAAATAGGTATTTCTCTTTAAGTGGTTGTTAACATGCAGAGTTTATCTGCAGTGTGCATGCAGCCTGTATACTGGAGACTATTGTCTTTGGGGAAAAAAAGTGTTGAGTCGTGAAGCAGGGACAAGGCAACTCTGATTACTGTGACTTATACAGAACAAGAGAAGTATAAAATAAAGCTGCAAGCTGTTATTCGTGTGAACCTGTAGCTATTATACCTCGGGTACTCAGCTACAACATTTTATTATACAAGTTTTCTCTTTGAAAACCAGAATCTACTTCAAATGCAGTAGAAGTTCTGTCTGAGACAGATTTTTCTGTCTGAGATTTTTCATTTAATACCACTTTCCAAACCTGAACTTGGCAGACTTGTTATGGGTCATCTATTAATTTGGTGCCTGAAAAGAGAAACCTGCTGCTGCAGGACTCGTGGGCCAATCCGAATATGAAATGCATACAAATTTTCCAGCAAATGGGACAATCCAGAAAGCATTTGTTAGAGAACTAAATGTCATATTGTCTTTAATATATTGTTCATTCATATATGGAATAATTGGAGGAAAATTTAGATCTCTATTACTTTTAAGAGTCTGCTTTCTATCTATTATCGCCAATCCCACTTCAATCTAATAGATTCTTTCTTTATGACTGTTTTTTTCCCACCTGTCAGTGGATAAGTGGCTGGATATAGCATAAAGCATAAAGAGCAGATGATTGTCTTCCACAGAAGTATCTGGATGTGTTGGAGAATGTCTTTGGAAACATCCTACCTTAAGCACAGTATAAGAAGTTGTGAATAGCAGTAGCTCATTGTGACTGTGATCTCTTTTTCAGGACAGTGTCCACATTGCACGCCTTGGTGGTTGGAGGGTTTTGCCTGTATATTTTGTTGTACGATGATGCTGTTAATGCTGACCGTATCTGGTAAGGCACGTTACATAGATGTTGTGTTTCCATGATAAAATAACATAATTGAGAAGAAAAAAAATCCTGCAGTGTATTAATTACTGAAATAATTATTTCATTTCCGTTTAAAATATGCAGTTGTGATGTGTCCATTTTTATATCTGTACTATTTGAAAATTTGATAATTATTTTGTCAGTATTAATGTCTTCGTTCAGTGTGTTTCTGTGAAGTGGAATAGATAAAATACAAGCAATTTATTTGGAATAGCATATTAAATTACTAAAGACTAAACTGTAACTAAGCATGACTGCAACTATCTCTTTAATAATTTTAAAGTGAAATTGAAAAGCTGTTGCAGATCTGGAGAGTGTATGTCTCTGTCAAAGTTGGAGTGGCCTATTATATGTCTAAAATATATATGTCTAAATTGATAAATGAAGATGTTTGTATTTCTGCCTCCCATAAAGCTCCTTCAATCATTTTAACAAACGTATGACAGTTTCGAGGGCTAAACACTTCACAGAGCAATAGGAATATTTAATAAATGGGCTTCTAATATTTTATCTACTTAACAAAATATTTTACAGTAAGCTTATACTTTCTTGATTTTTTAATTATATTGTTTTGTTTCACACTTTTTTGAGGGAGGAGAAACAATATGGCTTCATTTTATTTGAGTTAATTATAGATTGGTACTGGTGTTTTGACACTTCACTTGTTACCCTCTTGAACTCTTTTCCTATAGAAGGAGGAGACCATATTTTTCCTAAAGAATAACTAATTACTTTAAGTTTCATTTCATGTTTCTGTCATAGACTGTTGCATTTCACCTTGTCAAAGGACCACACTGGGAGTCAGTTTAAACTCACATAATACAGTGTCTGATGCTTGTTCCGCTAGTACATTTTTGTAAGGTAATGACAATGTAGCATGGATTAGACAGGATTGGGTTCTTGAGGCATTCTGCCATGGACCTGTTCTGTGGCTTTAATAAATGTAGCACTAAGGTATATTTAGGCAACATTGACCTCTTCTGTATGTAGTGATATATAATTAGGTTGGCTGGTTTTTTTGGTTGCATCCTGATATCTTTAGAGAGATCAGATACAGTCTGAATATCTTATGAGATCTGTTAACCATGTTAAAAGCAGCATGTTATTATGACTCTCTTGGTGAGTGTTGTAGGCTTTATCAGATAGAAGCTTTTATCCTGGTTTGTCTGAGTAGATGTTGTTCTAAACAGTACAAAAGAAGTCATGAATGGCAGAAATAAAAGCCTCTTGGTGATGAAAAATAAATAGGATCTTCACATTTACTAAATTTTCAGGAGCAATTCTAAGAAAAATCCAAATTAAATAGAAATCAAACCATTTTTGTTCTTAGTGAGTTTGAGAAATTTTTTGTTGCATTATATGTAAATACATATTTTGTATAATATATTGAAAACTTAATGTTGCTTATGAAGCCTTAGTAAAATTGAAGAGATAAAAAAACAAGTTATATGGGAAATACCCGATGGACTTTTACAAGGCTGCTTAGTCTGGGCATGTAATACCCTTATAAGCTGTGGGACTTTGTCATTTACAGACATGAAGGATGCATAAGCCTTTCTGTAGGAATTTCTTATTAATAATACCAGAAATATTTGTGTATCTAGTTTCAGTAGTTTGTGAGTAAATGTCCAGGAATCCTTCGTGCAGGTTGATTGCACAGCTCTAGCAGGAAGTCTGAAAATGCTCAGATTTTTGACTGCTGGGAAGGTTTTGATACAATCTTTTCCTTTAGTTATTTTCACCATCTTCGTGTAGTCATTGACTGTATGACAGTATTCAATAACTTTTTTTTTCAGTGGGATTTAAAAATATCTGTAATGAAAAATCTATTATCTATAATGAAAAATCACCAGCTCTGAGCCTCTGCATATGCCAGCCTAACTTCTGGGTTCATGCAAAGCTTAAATATGTGGTGATAGTGATACCCATATGTCTTGGAACAGATCAGAATTCCTGCTAAGGGTTTGGGCTCAATGGAGAGAGAATTGTGGTATTACTGAAAATAGATAGGGTAGCTCGTAACAAAGACTGGAGCATTGGTAAGTTACAGGGAAACATCAGTGTTGTGTATATATACATTTTTTTGGTGGTCTGGGACTTCTCACACTTTTCCTTTTTTTCTGTATGTACTACACACTAGCTAACACAGATTATGTAGAAATTGTTTTTGTGGTGGTGAGAATCACACGGTAGAAAATGTGGAGGTGGTAGAGATCAGATAAGGAGAGAGAGAAGATGTAAATAAGTGAAATAAGTGAATTAAGTTGTAGACTCTTTCCTGTGACTGTTCATTTTATAGTCATTACAGTTTTCAAAGTCCGTTGCTTGATTAGCCTTTTATATCACTGTATCTGCAAAGAACTTTGAAGAAAGTCAGTCGTGTACTTTTGTTTGTTCTACTGTGCGTGTCCACGTGTAATTCATTTGCCACACATTGCTCCTTAGCAATCACCAAAGAGATAGCTCTTCCCATTTGCTTATTCAAGTCACTCCCTGTTTGTCATTCCTGGCTCTTGCTTGCATCAAAACTAGGCTGCCAGCATCAGTGCTCATTAACTCCACTGCACTTTCCATTCAAGGAGGTAGATGAGGAAACCTAGAATATTTTAGACTAAACTCTAAGTTTTCCATTAATTGAGATTATTTTGGGATTCTAACATGGACTTTGCTTGAAGGGAAGAGAGTGATGGACAGTGCAGCCATATATGTTGTTGAAGTGTTGGTTTGGAAAGTCTAAAGAAGGTTTGTTGCAAAGTGACCATTCTCTGGGGAAAAAAGAAGGGAAGTGAACCATTCCCTGTCTCATCCAGTTAAGTCATGTTTCCCAGTATCAAGGAACAAATTTCATATACTCAGTCCTTTGCATCTTCTCTGGAGAGGAATATGAAGGCTCAGTCTTGGTGCTGTTGTGCTGAAATGTTTTGGGACCACGTAGAAGTTGGGTTGTGAGGCTGCTGCTGCTGCATCTGGGAGCTCTAACAGGAGGGCTGTAACTAAAGAGTTTCTGCTAAAGTAGGGAGAACACATCTGTCTATGCTCTATGTCTAAACCTAAAGAAGCACTCAACCCACAACCTACGTAGCTCATGAAATCAGGTTTTGAAGCCATGGAAAAATGTTCCTATCTCAAGCTGTAGTCAAGAGAGCCTCTATGGCCAATCTTGAGAGGTGGAGTGAGCTCCAGGCTCTCCTGATAGTGGTTTTATTTTGTCTTACAGCAGTATTCTGGTTTGGGAGTCCTATTTTCCTGTAAGCTACCCTCTCACTTAAGGAAGTAGTTAGTTTCAGATACTAGGCAAACCTTAAAATTTACTGAACAGATCTTAATAATACAGGAAATCTCTTGCACTGCTCCATTTTAATAGGATTAGGAAATTAAAGCTAAGTAATAGCATTTTACTGTGTTCTGGCTGGGGTAGACTTTGTACTGGAGGTGGCTGTAAGCACAGTTAGGTTCCTTTTTTCTTGAAAGGTTTACAACAAAGGTTGCTTTCACAGCTTTTCTTGAGCAGTCCACATTTTATGAATGGGTTGATCTGTCACTTGAAACTCAATTCATACTTACACAAAACATAGCTAGATTAGTTCCACAACTTACTTAATAAGTTGCGATCTTTACATCAAGTTAGAAGAGATTTGCTTACCAAACCCCTCCAAGTAGGAAGAGGACAGCAGAGGAAAGTACAAATGTTGCTTGCTGTAATGTGGATGCTTCCCTTTTTTCGTCTGTAATCACAAGTCTGGGTTTGTTGAACATTGTCGAAGAACAGAAGTTGTGTGTGTGCTTCTAAGAGATTTACCTGCTGCATGTTTGGCACTAAAAAGGTGTGAAACTTCTCTGGAAAGCATTTCTCCTCGAAGGTTCCTTGGCTTCAAAGAACTGCCAAATAATGCCTTTCATGTCTACTTCTATTCTGTTTATCCCTATAAGCATCCATCTGATTATGAATATGAAAAGGACCAGCTGAGCAAGATATTTTTGTCATCCTTAGGAAAGTTTTCACACAGGCAGAAAACAAAAATGGAGGCACAGAGTGTCAGTTAAAGGTAAAAGACACTGACTGGGCTGTTCTCTCTCATCCTCAGTTTCCAGAGAAGCCAGCTCAGAGTACCTTGCTCTATTTGAGTTCTAACCTCTAGCAAGGCTCTTGGGGCAATCTCTACACTTAAGGCAGGGGTTAATCCTGATTAGGGTAGTTAGTGGATGTCTTTTATCTGGGTAGAAAAGGAATCAATTTTCATGACTAGAACTCTTCTTAACCAAATTGTGTTATATCTTACTGATGAGCCAACAATAAGGTGACCTGATGGACATTGTGTTTGATATGTGTATGTCCTTTGCAAATTACCTTGTTAAAAAGGCTGTAACTATGTATTTTTGGTATGTTTACAGGGGTGACCCTTCAATGGTGAAGCTGAATATTGCTATTACCACAGGCTACCTCATTTCTGGTAATTATGCAACATATATATAACACACACTATCTGTATATTTATATTGAGACACTACACCTATATATTTATACGAGGCCACTATGCTGAAGATGTGATATGTGCATACAATACAATTTCTACTGTGGCTTTATGATTGCTAATGGAGTTGTGGGTTGTGGTGAAATCACAGGATCTTGCTAGCAGATGTGAAAGATGGAATGTCGCCCCAAGCACTGAGGAAATGCCGCAGTGTGGCTTTGTGATGGTTTGATATGCAACCACCAACTCCAGCTCAGTTTTGTCCTTTGGCCAATTGAAGAGGTGTTAGAGCATTGCCCTTCACTCCCTTCACAGTGTCTACAACTTGTAGCTTTTTTATCATACTGTTTCTTCCTGTGACCTCAGAATGCTGGCAGAAGAATTTTAGTAGTCCTCAATACAAACTGAGGCAAATGATGCCATAGGATCTTGCATGCCCATCTTTTAGTCTCACTTTAAGCCAAAACTTAAACATGTATAAAACAGGGAAGTTTTAAATTATTTTCTTGGTATGGTCTTTACTCCTACGTATGTTTTATGTTCTTAATTTTGCTGTCTAGTAAAATTGTCATGGAAACTTTGCTACAAAATGCTTTGGAGCTTTCTTTTGCTATGTGGGGAAAATAGTAACTTATCTAAGTGAAAACTTGTGACTTGAACTACTTTCAATTCAGGGAAAACTTCTCATGTTAGGTTGAAGTTTCTGGACAGAGACTGGGCCATGGACTTGCTTATCTCTCAGATTAGATTACTCACCCCAGTGGAACTGATATTCTGGTGATCAGCACACTCTGTTAAACTGTGGGTTAGTTTAAGTCTCTGTTTTTTGCATAACTTCTGCTCCCATGTTTAAATTAATCAGTATCTATTTTTGAATAGTTATGCATTAGATTTTAATTATGAATTAATGAATGCCTTTGAACAGAGATCTCAACCTGGCCACTCATTCTCTCACTTCCTTATATAGTTAATATTTAATTATTAATAGGAAGTGTAATGGCCATGTCAGATGATACAGAGGCCTGCCTGAGGATAGCTAATATAAAAGAGATCAAGGGACACACTTCACATAAAAAGGCAGGGGGTAAAGTCTTTGATTTGGAACCGTGGTCACTAATATTTCAGTCCAAAGTTCTCATTTGGAGAAAGCAGGGCCAGAAATTGCTTGTTCCAGTACAGAAAAGAAGATCTGAAATCTCAGGCCATCATGGGAGAAGAAAGAACATTTCTGTTAAAGCTTTCCCTATAACATTAACTCAGGTCCACTATGTCATTTTTGCAGTACTTGGAAAATTTGGAATAAATAGAGGTAATATGCTTATCATTCCAAGTGTCTTTTGCAAAATATTTTGGTAAACAGTTCCCCATTTTTGATTCAAAAGTTCCCCATAATACATCCCTGCATTTATTGCATGTATTTGTTTATTTACTATGCCCTCTGTAGACCCCCTACCTTTTTATTTTTTGGTCACTTATTCCAGATTTTTGGGTCAGAAGTGTGATGTCACGGTGAGATTCAGGATCCACTTTTTCTTCCAAAATATTTCAACTAAAGTTATTGCTTCTGTACTTCCATTGATGGGGAAAGTAATAATTAATCACAATTGTTGGGAGAATACTGTTGCTTAATTTTTTGGCTGAAGTAAAGTCTTTAGGATAAAGATGCTCTCTTCAGAGATAATTGATTCAAGTTTGTACTGATACCCTGTCTTGGTATATCTCTAAAACTTAGATAAACTATTCTGAGGTCAGTGGTTGTATAATAAAATGTTCTTTATAGTTATTTCTGTTCTTTTGTAGATCTGTTGCTTATTATTTGCTACTGGAAGGCAATTGGTGACAAATTTTTTGTAATACATCACTTGGCAGCTCTGTATGCTTACTCCTTTGTACTGGTAAGTGCTGTATTTTCTAGCAACATAACAAGCAGATGAGATTGAAGACAATGCTTTTATGTATCTCATTTGTTTAATGTTGAAAACATTTTTCACTTGATAGTGAAAAGCATATTACACTTTCAGTCATCATTCTTTCTAAATGTTTTTATCTGTTATTTGTGGTAAGCACATGCCTTTTCAGTGTTACACTCCTTCAACAAAAATGGGTAATGGCTGAAGTTAAAACTCTTCTCAGTTTTTGCTGTAAAGAGGCATTGACAGAAGGGCTTTTCATATGGTTATAGAAAAGGGTTTCAAATAAAAGCACAAGCTTGAATATTTAGTTGGAAAATTAGAAGGAAATGGTTTCAGGTCGTTATGTTCTGTTTCTGTCTCCCAGGTAACAAGTGGCAGGATGAGAGGAAATAGCCTCAAGTTGTGCCAGGGGAGGTTTAGACTGGGTATTAGGAAGAATTTCTACACTGAAAGGGTGGTCAGGCATCAGAGTAGGCTGCCCAGGGAAGTGATGGAATCACCATCTGTGGAAGGGTTCAGAAGGTGCGTGGATGTGGCTGTTGGGGATATGGTTTAGTGGTGAACACAGCAGTGCAGGGTTAACAATTGGACTTGATCTTGAAGGTCTTTTCCTATCTTAATGATTCTGTGATTGTATTTGCAAGGCCACAGGTCAGTGATTCCTAACTGTGATGCATGTAGTATAGTCAGATGGATGTGATTTTTCTGGGATAGGTTTTTTTCTTTTCTGTTTTATGAATTTATTTTTTTTTATCAATTATGACGAAGTGATCCTCTGAGACTTCTTTTTTAAGGTTAATTTGGTGGGGAAACAATATACCATTAACTGTATATATCTATAAAGATCTGTGGTGCACATACAATGAGGGGAAAAGGGGAAGGATTGTGTTATAGGATAAAGAGTAAGGTACTCATTGCTGCTGCTACTGTTGCTGGAATTTCTCAAAGATGTCCTGGTAACTCTGGTAGAAATGCTATTGGTGTCCAGAATAGAATAATGCTCTTGAATTTCTTTTGAAAAGCTCATTCAGTAAAGCAATCTTACAAAATACAGTTTACTTCATTTACCCTTTTTCTTTCCCTTCCCACTGTGTGAATCCCAGGCTTAAAATATTAAAAGTGTCCAGATGCCAGATTAGTGTCAGATTTCCCATGTAATGGTTTGAAGGGGCTGAAGTACACTGACAAGTAAATACTCTGTTTCAGGTTGAAGATAATTACATCTACTAATATTATCATGGATGAAAGTGAATTAGAACTGAATATTAGATAAATGAAAATACTAGTACGAAAGCTAATCCCTGATGCAGAAAATGCATTAGTTGTTGCTAGAGTAAACAGAAAATGTAGTGTTAGCATGTTTAAAGCAGTTGTTATTATTATGTGGATATAGCTCTGCTCTTGGATGAAAGGGCTTTACATGCTTTTTCTGCTGTCAAATCAAAGCTGAGAATTCCTCTTTGCTTTGGCAAATAATGTTCCTGAAACAACGCAGGGAGATTTTTCTTTAGCATACAGTGTTCCTGTTTGGGCTTGTTTAAACATTGAGAAATCAAAAATATCTGTAATTCTTTTAGACAGCAGTAGTATCATGATAATTATAACCTATGACTACTTGTGCAAGTCTTCTCTAGCTAGCTTTCCATGACCACTTAACTGTAAGTCTTTTAAAGATTTATTTGAAGTAAGAAGCTACTGATTGGAGATACCTGAAGGGAAGTTGCAGCCTTTATGATAAAACTCATTTTGGAAGTGCAAGGAAGGTGGCCACAGCTGGCAAACTCACCATCAGTTTAAATAAAGAACTTGAGATGTTGTATCATTCTGTGTATACTTGAAGACTTAAATGACAATTTCACATCTACATTGTTGATTTTTGTATGTCTGTTTTGTTTTGCTAACCAGAGCAAAGGTCTGCTGGCTTATTTTGGAAACTTCCGTCTACTTGCAGAGTTCTCCACTCCTTTTGTCAATCAACGGTAAGTAATTAGGGAATGTTTCCACAGTTCTTTTAAAATCTGCATTATTATTTCTATCACTCAGGAAGTTTTTTTATAGTTTTTGAATGTCTACTGAAAGGAAATTTATATATATTGAACTAAGGATTTCTATATGGAAGTCTTTTTTGCTGTGAAGATGTTCTGCTGCTACACTGCTGCAACACTATAACTAATGTATTCACCCCGTAGTTCCTTATTAGATTAGAGCAGACTTCATCTGAAATGCCAAAATTTATGAAAATACCAAACAAAAAAGTTCACAAATAGGATATTGTTTATTACCTTTTGTATATTCATTTAAATTTTATAATAAAGGCATTTTCAATATGGACTTTTTCTTTGGATCATGGACCAGGAGAAGAAGCAAGATAATATTGTCATCAGAATCCTAGAATGGAATTACATTGCCCTATATAATTTGAAGTTTATTTTGCACTATTGCACGTGTAGATCAATAATATAAATGTATATTCTTTATGTGCTTTCAAAAATAGTTCTGCAAGTCATTTTCAGCACTTAAAATTAGAAAAATAGTAAAGCATCTAAATTTATCTGGAATGATTAATTTTCACGCTTGTGATTAGAGAAGAAAGGGACAGAAGGTTCTTTGGCAAAGTTCAGTGAGAGTCAAATCGTGCCCTGTCTTCTGGTTTAAGTGTTTCTACTGGATTCGCTGCTGTATCAGAAAAGGAGTATGATAATGCTGCATAACTGCAGGGAATGGGAAAGCTGTCAGTGGAGTTTCACAGTGCTGTGGGGAGGGTGGCCTTTCTCCTTATTCCATAGCCACCACAACCCACGTGGGGACAGGGATTTGCCCCAGAAAGACTTCACCTCAGGTGAGGGGCTTTGAAATAGAGCAATGCTGCAGTTGTCTTCTCTTCCTCTGTTTGTTTTGCAGTGTAGGATCAGATCTTTCAGTGTATCAGGTATCTATTCCTCACCCATGCTTTTTGGGGTGTATTTCTACTTTACCGATTCTACATGTGTGGCATCTGTTTTTCCTTCCAGGTATCTGATAGAGAAAGGATAAGGCAAACAGAAACTGTAATCCTCCTGCAGACAGGCTATTACCCATTACTGCACTGTGACTGTAAACTCTGAAATATTTTATGACACTGTAGCATTCCTCAGAGCTCTTAAGAATAAAATAGATTGTGCTGAGATCCCTTTTGAACATTAGTTTGGCAAACTCAAACTTAGGGAAGGAGTGGGTGGGATAACGGAGCTCTCCAGAGGGTTCTTTCATTTACGCCAGTGCAGTTGAGTAGGAGATCATAGTCTAATGTTGCCTGTGCTCTGTGTGTGCAGAGAAACTGAAGAGTAAATAAACACTTTTAACTCACTTAAGAAAGAAGGGCATACTATATTCTAGGTTTTGTATCGATATTCATGTCCTAGGAAATGGCTGTTCCCCCAGCTGACTTCTACCAGGACAGGAATTCATCCTGGGTTTAAGGGGGTACCTGTACTGACGCTTACCTTTCAGACTGTGGCATTAGGAAGCATTGTGATACATCTGTCTATTAAAAGTAATTTACGTTATACTCTAAAAGTGCCTATGGTGAGATTGTGAGTCTTTGAATACTGACATTCAGAGCTTTCTCAGAATAGCAGGAATCACTGCAGGAGATAAAGTCCCTTGCACTAAGGGATCTCATTAGTGCATGATTTTCTTTTCCCCATTAAATTTGAAGAGAATCAGACCCTTAAGACAGTAAGTAGTAGATAATGGTAATGACTTACATGATGTTTCTTTTTGCATTCTTAGTATTACCAAAAGAGCTATTATTAAAATACAGAAAGATATATTCTAATCTCAGAACTGTCTGTGTACTTCCTGTCTGTGTTGTTAGGGATCTCTAATTGGAGGTTGTCTGTATGCCAAGCATTTAGATATTTTAATGTTAGTATCAGCAATAATATAATTAATTCTGAACTGTAATGGGTAAAATTGTAATGGTAACTGTGATTTACAGACTTATGTTTTTTTTCTTAAAATTGCTGGGAGAGGGAAGTTGCTATGCTGATGTCCAGTTACCTATATTGGCACATTGCAGTATATTTGAAAAACATTTTTTATGTTACTTTTTGATTCTGCATTGTATGTATCACTGCAAGTACAGGCTTTGATCGTAAATCTGACCAAACATACCAGGTCTTTCTCTTCATCATCCCAGTAGGTGTTCTGTGATAAAGCATCCTGCTTCCAGGCTGGACTGTCACCTCCAGTGCCTGGATTTTAGTTGTTCTAATTGCATGCTTAATGAAGTTTTGGAGTATTTCTGTTAAAACTGGATGTCTGGCAAATCTTTTTAGTATATATATATATGTATATAAATAATTACTTAGGTTGCAATCATTAGGTAATTAAATTAAAAATTACTTTTAAAACCAGTTCTAGAACTGTGGGTTGTTGTTTTTTTTGTTAAATACTTCTAGCCTTGAATTTTATTAGAAATAAACTGATTATTTCATTCCCTTCCCCATCATGAATACAATGATTTAAATTATTTTTCTCTGGTCCTGTCTGCCATCGCTGCACAAATTTTACTTGTGTTTATTCTGGTTTCAGTGTGAGTGGCAAAGAATTAGAAGTTTATTACTCCTTTTTCTAGGCATTCAATCCTCAGGTTCTGTATGCCAGGCAATAGATAAGTTATGCCTGGCTACTAAGGAATTAATATGCAACAATTCTTGTTTAAAGACCACTTGTGACCCAGTAGTAGATAGAGAGGCAGGTTTTAGAGTTATCTTTTTCATTGCATAGCATTCCAAGCTGAGACATGGTTGAGAGCCATTTACAATGTCTGCTTTTGAAGTTCCTGTTTTGGGCTGAAGAGCAGCAGTCAGAAAATCCCAATTATGATAAACTGGAGCTGTATCTACATTACCATTCCCAAATACAATTCTAGAATTGCTTTCGGAGAAACAGAGAAGATTTTAGTTGCCCATTGATACAAATTGTAATAGTAAGTAATAAATTTATCTTCACCATTTTAAAAGATAATTTTATTATTGTGTATTACACAATAGTCACTGAAATGCACACTGGTTGTCAACTGATTTACAGTTCACATCAGGGTTTTCTATGTGTTATTCTGTTATGTACGGGATGTGGCACACTACTGAAGTGGCAGGGAGAAAGTGCAGCCAAGCAGAAGAGTTTGCAACTGGGCCAAGACACAGTGCAATAATTTAGAAAATATAAGGGTAGATGCAATTAATAAATCATTAATTAAAAAGAACCATGAAGTAAAATATTTTTTAAATGAGATGGCTTCAAGTCTGCCTGGTATCTGTGAACACTTCTTTTGCAGGTGGTTTTTTGAAGTACTGGGATATCCCAAATCTTCAAAGGCCAACATCATCAATGGTGTGCTGATGACAGTTGTGTTCTTCGTGGTGAGGATTGCCGTCATGCCTATATATTACAGCCACGTAATTGCTTCATTTGGAACAGAAGCTTTCCACAGATTAGGATTTGCAGCCCAGAGCGCCTGGATTATCTCAAGTGTTGTCTTGGATGTTATGAACGTGATGTGGATGTTCAAAATTGCAAAAGGATGCTACAAAGTGATTTGTCTTATTGGACGCAAGGAAGCCAAAACTCACAGAAATGGAAAATCTGCCTAGAAATCGTACATGAAATGAAATTTCTGCTATGAAAATAATTTGGGTTCACTGAAACAGTGCACATTTCTGCCATGGAATGCTCCTATTAAGGAAACAAGGTATTACCTCTGTACTGACCTTACTCTTTCCCTAGCCACACTGCCTGCACACCCAGGGCCACGCTTTACGGATCCTGTCCCGTGAGGAATAAAAACAAAAGCTCACACAGATGAGTTTCACGTGTCTGTTCTAAGCAGTTACAAACTACAGAAATCAGAAAGGAGTAGACTGGTTACTTGCTTGTCGTCCACCAGTGTGTTCGAAGTGTTTCACTCAGGTTTCTCAGATTAATGTGTTTTATAAATCCAGTGAATACTGACATATCTCTTTTTTTAGAAAATGAAAAATTCCCCAAACTCCTGATATGGTGCAATTTTCCAGTCACGTTTCTATGTTTTCTTCTAGGAATAACAATCAAGATTTCATTCTTGACAACTTTTTAATTTTTGCAAGTAAAGCTAAAAGTTTGGCTTTGATTCTGTGAAGTCTTTTACTGCTTCTTGTTCTACCTTATATGAATCAAAACATTTTGGGAAATTTATGAAATAATTTTATCTAAAATGCTGTATTATAAGACTACGTAATATCTTAAAAATGGTTAAAATTCACATTTTGATGGGAAGAATTCACACTTGCTGTGCTAGATTACATGCAATAGTACATCTTCTAAGTTGCCCATAGAATTTTTTTTTGTAAATTAATATGGTAAATGATATGTGGAAACGATGTAATTTTTACTGGAGTGCTTTTTCCTTTGCTGCTACTACCTTTGAGAAGTGCTGCAACTCTCCTTGGAGTATTTTTAACCCTTGGCTATTTGGATTCAGAGTTTAGTTTCAGAGGGATGGAATTCTTCTATATACATGACATATACCTTCCAGTAATGCTTTTTTTTCTTTTTTTCACACAAATGTAATATTTGATATGAAGTCTTGAGGGTTTTTGTCACATTTTCCACGTAGATCAAGTCAGAAATCTGAGGTGTTGACTAAAAACATTCTTGAATTAACTGTGCCAAACTTCTGTAAAGCTGTATGGTAATTCTGTAGAAGGAACAGTTCACCTCCATAGACACAAATTTTTATTTTTTAAACACACATTTGTCAATAGGTACTCAGTTCCTCCTTCTCTGAACCTGAAGGTTTGGAGGTCATCAGAGAGGAACCTTATCATCTCAGAATAGTCTTAAATCTAACTTATAATACAATTTGAGGAAATTCTGAGTTTTGTTTTATTTTAAAATGATTTTGAGAGCTATATTTATGTGTAAATTGGTTTTGTTTACTTTTAACCATATTGGAATCAGGACTGATTAACTTCTAGTATTTTTCCTTGACGTAGTTTTGCTTTGTTTTGTTTTGTTTTTTTTTCTTCACATTACTTGTTATTTGTTGCAACTTCTGGTAAGGCGTGCTAAAAGCACCCATTTTCACTGAGACTTTAGTGCAAATCCCAATTATTGTGGCAGTCTGTTTATTTTTAAGGAAAAAGACAAAGCATTTACCCTGAGTAGGATGATAAGTCCCTCTGACAAAGCTGGACGATGTGAGCGCTCCCTCTGCAGTCGGAGGTGTGCGTGCCCTGTGCTGTGCACTCTGCTGAGGGACTCGAATGAGATGTCTGTAAGAGCCCAGGAGGACTCCTTAGGCTGAAATGCCTTATAACCAAGGCAGCTGCAATGACTTGAGTAGCCCAGTTAAAATGCTGTCAGGGAGTATTGTTTGGACAAGTGCAACACTCACTTTTAAAAGCCTAATTCCGCTGTTTAGCTGGTCAGGCTTTTTTCCCAATCCTGCCTAGTTAGTGGAGAAAGCAAGGATTGTTAGTACTCCTGGTTTTTGCATTCTGTGGTTATGAATACTTCACAGGCCTGCAGACAAAAGATCTGTTTATGCCTTGGGAGAGTTGGCAATTAATCTGCTGAGCTGTATGATTTGCGTGAGCGCAGCACCTCATTTGGGTGCTGCTAAATCCATAGTCTTTTAGAGTTGATCCTTTGTAGAAAGAAACCGATTCCCTTTTATGCTAATCTGCAGAACCTGGTATCTTTTCAAATGTGATTTCAGTCAATCTAATGCAAAATTTAGGCTTCATAAAAAGGCTTTGTGTGTCTATCACCTTTGTGATTTAAAGGTATATATGAAGTACTTTTTTCTTGTGGTTTTAAAATCCCTAGATCAGAGAATTGTTTTGTAATAGCTTGTTCCTTTCTAAAACAAGTGGAGTAAATTGAAACATTTTGGAGAATATGTTTGAAAGCAGAAGTCTGCTTCTGTTATTTGGAAAGTAGGATGAAAAAAGTCAACAAGGTAATTTGGAGCAACTTTTAAGGTGATAACTCATGAAAATATTCTGAAATTCATAATTTCTTAGCATTAATCTTTAATATTTTGATATTTTAAATATTTTGTTCTTTGTGGAGACCATTTATTAAAATGGTCTATTTCTTCCACTTATAGATAGACTTGTGTCTGATGGGGGGGGTGAAGTAAGTAAAGCTAAAATAAAATTAATGTTAAAACTTTATTTAAAAGTAAAAACAAACAAACAAACTCTGCATAATACACTTTGGGCAACAATCCAGAATTGAAGGGCAGTGAAATAACTCTTTTAAAACAGCTAGTACCTTGGATCGCTGTACAAATTTAGTGTAATTAAAACTCTATTTTGCAATGCATTAGGTTTAAATTTTCTAACTTTTTTTAAACAATATTACAATTATGGCCTGATGCATCTGCTGTGCATCAGAAGACAATTTTTTTGTGAAAAAAACTATTAAGAGCTGTGACTTTGGCAAAGACTTTAGTAAACAGGGTGCAAAGCTGTGATGTACTGAATACAGTAGTACCGGGCACTTTTTGCCTACTATTAAAAGCTTATAATACAGCAAATTAGATAGCTGCGGCACCCAGTTTTTTAATTGCACTTTATTAATTTGAAAAATGTGGTGAAATATTGATGAAATTCAGTGTTGAAAGCTTGTGTCTTTCTTATGCAAAAAAAGTAAATGCATGATCAGTAGCATCGTAATAATTGCTTTTGAATGTAATATCTTATTAGTGGCTTAAAACTTATATTTTTAACAGATGCATTATAAAAGCAGACTCTTGGCATGTCACCAGGTGTCTTTGCTGTGGACATATCAAATGGAAGGAGTTAATATTGTAAAAATACCCAGCTATCTTAATTTTTTTTTCTTTTCCATTCTTCAATACAAGGTGACATCAGTTTGATGATCATGGGAGAGACTATTTGTAGTGGTAGGGCTGTGTGTAGGAATGCAAGTTTCCCTTTTTTATGACATTACATTTTCATCAAAGGATTAGTAATTACCACTTTCAGAACTACTACAGGGAATGGTAGGTCAAGTTCTGTTTTTGTAGTTGATTTGCGGAATCAGTACTTGCAGAAAGGAAATAAACTTCAAATACTCATTTTCTCAATGAGTGTTTCAGTGGATTTTGGTGAAGTCGAGAGCCTCACACTACAGAGATGCTTTATGTTATCTGAGCGAATTCTTCAGTGGTAAGAATTACATTACTGAAACCTACTCTACCTCTATACATACATACTATCTTGCGTGAGCTCAATAACTTAATAACTTAATTGCTTAAAAAATAGAATCTGTTGAGAAATTAAATATATCCTATGCACGGGAAAATGAGGGTAACTGACTTCATATACAAATTCTTAAGAATTCCAAATTTTGTACTAAAGCTGACTAAAAATTAGTCAAAGTGTTTGGAAGAGAATAACTTTCATCTTTACTTAAAATGTTGTGGGAGAAGATTACTTATACTGCAGAACAAACATTAGCCTAAAAGTAAAAGCTTACACAAGCAAGCAAAGGCATTTAGGCAGGTTTAAAGAGGAGAGGTGGAGAAGACTTTGAGAACACCCATAGAGATCCAGATGTCTTCCTACTGCTGTAGTTGGGACAACAGCAGTTTGATACATAGCAGAAAGGTTTAGGTGGTTCTGTATCTCTGTTCGCAGTGGAAAATGAAACTACTCTTTAAAATTTTAAAGCTGTATAAAATGGGATATCAGTTGTTGATTACTATATGAAGAGGACTTTTCTCATGGCCTTGTGTGTGTTTAAGCATATGTATATACAAGTTTTCTGTAAAAGACCACTTAGAGAAGTTTGTAAAATTGTTTTGTGATGCTTCTGCTGAGCCATTCAGAGAAAAATAAAGGGCTGCTTGACAATTTCTCGAGTTTAGGGTCTGGTGCAGTGTTGGCTGCCGGGGAAAGCCATCAATAAAGCAAATAGAAAGGGATTAGAATTTTTAGATTAGAAAGTGCAAATGTAGGAGACTTTGAAAAGTATCGCAGCCCCCTTTCGTATTTTTAATTGCCTACTGTACAACAACATTTTCTGGCTATACGGAACTTCATGACAGAAAGTTTGCTCCTGGTCAAATTTCTCTATGGAATACAGCTGGAAAAAGAACAGTATTTAATTACTGGGATTCTGACAGCAGTCAAATGGAAATAATTATGATATTTATGGACTTTTAACATTCATCTAAACCTGGATAAAATCTCTGTTGGATAGGTGAAGGTCTTAGGATTTTCTGAAAGCAATTTGAAAGTTCTTTTTATGGCAGAAAAGATGAAAGAGGTGCTGCTTGGGTTGTTTAGAAATCTGGGATTATGCATCAAATCATACTTTTAGGTAGTAACACTTCGTAATGGTTCTTACCCATTAAAAATTTCTACTAGCTACCTCCTTTGACATTCTTGCTCTATTTATAATAACCAAGCACTTTATAGCTCAGTAAAGAATGCAAGGTAGCTATGAAAAATAAATTGTATCATTTGGTATAAAAAATACTTTGGCAAAATTTCTTCTGAGAACAATTTCATTGTGTGATGTCCTGTACTGAAAGGCCATCTGTTTATAACAAAGTACATACATTTTTAACCTAGCTGTAATGTAAAAGAAATGTCTTCAAGAGAGCGAATTATGAAGAGTTCAGCATGGCTTGTTATCAACCATATAATGATTCAGTGTGCTATTTATAACTTCCTACTTACTGAAATTGAAAATATAAAAGCAAATAAAATATTCTGTATTGTATCTTTATTTTTAATCTATGTGTGGGATGTCAAACATTGTACTTGTCTTGTGGACAGGACATGCTTTTATGAGCCTATAAATATTTAAGTATATGAGAATCTGCACCCAAGTGGAACATGTTGCATGTAAATTGTCTTCTAAGTTTTTAAATTTTGGTATTTTTAAAAATTTGCTAAGTTTGAAAGCAACATTTAAATATTAATACTAAGCTGTAATACAGAACGCAACATTTTGAATGCAATATGGCATATATTGGTTTTGTTTATTGTAATCCTATTCCAGTTTCACAAGAGAAATCCATCAAATGATAGGGGGAAGGGAGGAAAAGGGCTAATCATGAGCTCGGCTATATAATTTGCACATTTAATATGCACACATCCAAATATCCTGGATTTGTTTCTAGCATGCATATGTCAAACAGTGTTTTCTTTAATATTGACAGGTACCTATACATGTGGAATAATTTAACCCATAAGCACAGCTAACCTGTTATAAAACCAAATTAAAAAACCTGTTGGGAACAAATGAGTTACAAGTTAAGCATAAGTAATGGAGCCTGTAATTAAAAAATATTTATACCTTCTACCTAAGAAGAAACTTGATAAATATATCTAATTTATGTGCAGAGTGAGGATGAAAACTGTAGATTCTGCTATACTGATTTCTGGTAAACCTTGACAATCTGATTTGCAGTAAATACTAATACTATCACAAAATGTCAGGACCACATTATTGAATTCAACTAGTAATGTGACCTGATTGTAGTAGCAATCCTTATCATGGCACAAGAACTTAAAAATGCAATATAACAATTCTGCAGATTGGTGATAAATGTAATCAGTCGTAGTAAGGCAAATGATTAAGTATTGTGGGTTTAAATTTACTTTTTATTACAAGAAAGAATCTGAATTATTTGTTTGCATTTCAGTGATACTGTAAGGCATTTCTATATTTGTTTAAACAGTTTAGGAGCTTGCATAAAATGATATTGGCTGATTTTTTTTCCCCTTTGATATATGCAATAATGTCAATAAGCAATAAATTGCATGTTGTATGCAAGGTATTGGTACTTCATAATAAAGGAAAGGAACACAGTTTCTTATTTTGTGAATTTTTCTTTCTTATATGGTAATAGCTTATGTACCTATAATGAATGCATCATGAAAGAACAATTTTATTTGGGTTCAGATCTGTAGCAACTGGCTTATGTGGTATCTTGAGATTTCATACTGTATCTTTTTTATTTAAAAAGAGGTGGAGACTGGAGTTGCTCAGGTGGCTGGACTTGTCAAGGCTGAAATTCTATGTAGAACATCACTGGGGCCAGCAGTGTAACTTATAATGTAATTTCTCTTGTGCATTGGGGGAGAACTTCTGTGTTGGATAGTATAATTATATTGCACTGTTCTTATAATAGTGCATGTTTCAGGACATAAGCTGGACAGCTGTCTGAAGGCTCTGGGGAAAAAGAGCTGCTGTTGGCAGTGTATTATAAATATGGTGCACTACACAGCCCCTTACTGAATACTAAGATGGGCAATTAAGTCCCTCAATATGGCAGTTCCTAGATTCTGTATGTGCAGTGAATGTATGCCTAGGAAGCATGGATCGTGTGGTAAAACTCGGAGGTTTCTCTGAGCGTCCTTACAGGAAGTTGCTGTTTTATGTTTTAACCATTGGCTTCCAAGCACAGGAATTACTCGTGTTACTTTGGGTTTTCTTTTGTATTATGCAATGGTTGAATTACTAGAAGAAAACACAAAGCAGTGAGGTGTTTTTCCTTTTTTTACCTCTCACCTTTTGAGAGGTATTTACTTCCATATGTAAATTATTCTTAGGGTACTAGTTTTACACTGTTAGTGTAGAAAATTACTCATTAACTAGTTGGTCTGTTTGGAAGTGAGTGTGAATGTCTGGGAACAGATATTTTTTGGGGTCAGATGCTATATAGGTCAGATTTCCAACTGCTTGAGGAAGGACAATGGGGGCTTGGTAGGAGGCTTTTGTATTGGCATTGGGCAGCTTTTAACACTGAATAGTGGAAAGGAAGGACTGAGCACGGCTGGGAACAAGGGATGCCTTTCAGTGAGCCCTTCTTAACCCGATACATTTAACAAGTCTTGTTTAAAGTGTGAGAAACATTATACCTCCTTAAGATGTATGATATAGAAACTTATTTCACATATATATCCACTTCTTTGTCATCCTCTGAAGCAAAGTTGCTCTTTATTTTCTCCCAAATTTTTTTTATTACTTTGTGTTCTTGCTAAAAACTTCTCTCCTCATATTGGTGTGATAACTCTGCACTAAGATTTTAAAAATTTTTAATTTAATTTTCACTATGGACATCTCATTTTTTAGATGGTGGACTAATGTTTTGTCTTCTTTTACTCTGCTTTTGTGAAGTTCACAGTGCAGTATACCTAAGGGTAGATTGTGTGCTTCATTGAGTTTTTTGTAATGCTTTACATAGAGTAAAAAATATTTGCTACTTGGCTTACCTTACAGAGGGTGAAAACTATTATCTATACAATGACTAATAAGGCAGTTGTTGCTTCTGGTGGAGTGTGATCGTGAAAAGCAGGGAGATGGCACATCGACATCAACAGCGATATGCACTCTGAGAGGAGGGAGTAGAACCAGTTCCCTGTTTGAGAACATCAGAGAGAGAAAATTTGGTTTAGAGTCCTTCTGCCACTTACTTGAAATATTTAGGGGCAGAGATGTCAGTTGGTCTACGGGAGGATCTTTTTAAACTGTGTTGTTAAGTGAAGACAGGCTGAGAAACTTGCGGTTGTTCAGCCTGGAGAAGTGAAGGCTCTCTTAGACACCTTAGAGCCCCTTCCAGCACCTAAAGGGGCTACAAAAGAGCTGGAGAGGGACTTTTTACAAGGGCATGTAGTGATAGGACAAGGGGGAATGGCTTGAAACGGAATGAGGGCAGGTTTAGATTGGATACTAGGAAGAAATTCTTCACTATGAGGGTGGTGAGGCCCTGGAACAGGTTGCCCAGAGAAGGTGTGGGTGCCTCTGTTTGAAGGCCAGGTTGAGGGAGTTTGAACAGCCTGGTGTAGGGGAAGGTGTCTCTGCCCATGGCAGGGGATGTAAGCTTCAAGGTCTCTTCCAATCCAAACCATTCTGTGATTCTGTAAGTGCAGCAAGTGAAGACTTAAAATTATTCTATATCTTTTCCAGCTGTTACTGTGAATGTGGTCTTAGAGACTGCAGCAAAGCCTAAATTGGGAAATGAGGGAGGCAATCAGAATGTTTTCTAAGGCATATAATAGACTCAATTACTGACATGATGCCTCTTTTCTATCTTGAGGTTCTCCATATGCTGTGCTAATAATTCCTGCATGCAGAAAGGGTAGAAAGCAATTTCTTCCTAAGTAATCAAGACTATAAAAGGGCAAAAAAATGACTGAAAGGATGAATATTTGATATTGCTTTATCCTTGTATTTTTATTTCATGTTCACACTGAATGGCAATGTCCTCATAATAAGAAAGATCCTATTTTGAAAGACAGTATGTGAACATGATCTTAACAGCACTCTTGAGAGGAATGTATAAAAGAAGTTTTTTAATGCGGGTAGTAAAATGGTTTGAAATAGTGCTGGTTAGAACTGCTTCAGTGTGGTTTAGACTTTGTCTATTAATCCTTCTGATCTTTTTCAAAAGAAATGGTAGAGAATCACTCATTTCTGTCTCTACATGCAGAGAGTCTTAAGAGACCTCTTACAGATTTGAATTTGGATCTTTTTCATCCTAAGTTACTGTAATAACTGTGCCACTTGGAAGATTAAGTTCCTTTCTACTTTAATTGTTAAAATGAAATAGAGTATTTGGGGAAACAATATATTTCTAATCAGTTCGAATTGTTGCATATTTATAATGTAAGTTTCTTGTCTCTCCACCTGCTTTTTGCACTTGATAGCCTCTTTAGAGTCCATGCTGTGGGATGAACATTGAAATAGTCCTGCAGGATTTGCATCCACTCTTACAGTATAGCCAGGTGTTATCACCCGATGGTCAAAACGGATGAGATGGAGGAACTCTTCCTTACTCTGATGTACAATGAGCTTCATAATTTGTGTGTTATGCATGGTATTTCATGTATGTAGCTGAATTGCATCTTCTGACTTGAAATAAGGCAATATTCTTAGGAAATTTTAAAAGAGCTGTGATGCTTTTCTTGACTAGTTGATGTTTAAAAATCATCTTAAGGAACTTTTACCATCTCCGTAAGTTTAACACTAGAAAGGATACACCTATACAGTATCGGTGTGTGCTGCCAGTACATTCAGTGGTACTCGCAGTAGTAATTTGCAGCTGTAAGGGATAATGATTTCACAGCACGAGGTAAGAGCGCACACAACTCGCGGTAACGCCGCTGCACCGGGACTAACGCGGGTCCCGGGTCGCACAGTTCGCTGGGGTCGGCAAAGTCAGAACCAGCCTTTCTGCACCTCGGCGTGGCGCGGCCGGGCCCAGGGGGTCCCTTGCGCCCTCCCCGGGATGCGGTGCCTTGGCATCTGTGCGCTGAGCGGGGGACAAGCCTCGCTGCCACCGCCCGGCAGCGCCGACACCGCGCCCTGAGCCCCGGCGGGCCGGGCGGGCACGGCGGGGGCGGCGTCCTTGGGGCCGTCCCTTCTTCCCCGGGGCCGTGCCCGCCCCTCGCCGCGGCGGGGCCCCCGCGCAGGCGTGGAGCTGCTGCCGGTTATCGCGAGGCGCAGGGGCGGGCGCGGGGGCGCGGAGCGGGCCGGGCCGGGCTGGGCCGGGCTGAGGTGAGGAGGAGGAGAAGGAGCAGGAGGAGGATGAGGATGCGGCGGTGGCGGCTCTGGGGGCCGCGGCGGCGGGAGGCGGGCGCTGCGGGCGGGCCGCGCTGCGGGCGGGCCTGCCCTGACCTTGCGGGTCGGTCACGGAGTGTGGCGGGATGCGGGAGGCGCTGCTGCCCCGCACGGGAGTGGGACACGGGCAGAGCCCCCCGCCAGTGGCCGCGAGGAGGGCTTGGGACGGAGCTAGAGGCCGGCCCCGGTAGACGCTTGGGGTTTTATTTGGGTGGGAAGCTTGTTACTTAAACCGATTTCGTAATTAATTTTTTAATTTGTAATGCAGCACTGTATCTGCGTTCACCTTAATAAGTAACCACCTTTCTTTTCTGTTACGAATGTTTGCTTCTTTTTTCTTTAGGAACTTGATGCTCGAAGGCTCTGTGTGTGGGAGCCATGGGTTTGTCTGCATCCTCCCCGGCTGCTGCAGGTCAGTCGCCACATGAATCCAGGCAGTACCAGACGGCGTCTCCACCTTCAGAATGTCCCATGCATCAGGAAAAAATGAGCGGTAATCATGCTTGAAACTTCAATGAACTAAACTCTTTACGTGGAAACTGGATGAAAAATCTTCGGGAGGAAAAAGAAATTTTTCTCCAAATAAAAACTGAAGTTTTTTCTTTAGGGAAAGTTGCTCTTAAATAACTTCATGAAAAGGAGGCCAAAAGTTCACCGTAACAGTGTACAAGGTGCTGTGTCTGTAGAGACAGGAGATGGTTGTTGTAGAACCTGTGGGTCATTCCCAACTGTCCCATTTCACAGGGGTCCTGCAGATCTATTCCTGTGGTGTGGTACACCCACAAAGGGTCTGGGAACCCCTGCAGAGATGGTAACTGGGAGCAGGTGGATGTTACAAAAAAACATGCATCTGGAAAAGAGCAGCAGAAGGGTGAAATCAGATGAATGTCTAAAGGAGGTCATCAGGTTTTCTGTTGACACAGTCAACACATTTGGATTAACATTGCTGAGGAAATCTTAGGTACTAACAAGTACAGTATAGGGGCCAGAATGGGGTAGGAAATGATCATTCAAGGACTACACAGGAAGCGCAGATCTTACCATGGTGTTGGGTCCTGAAATGCAGGAAAGAGAAAAATTAAAGCTGTTGCAAAGCTCAGAAAAAAAAGTGAAATAGTCGCTTGCATTTACTTGAGCATTCAATGAACTTTCCCATTTCCTGTCATGTCTTTAAGAGTTTTCATTTTGTATCAAAATACATACTATTTTTCCCGTGTTTAAGGTTGTCCAATGCACATGAAAACTGCTGATCACAGAACCGAGAATACAGATGATGTTCCTGCACATCAAGAAAGAGCTTATGAGTTTGTAGCATGTCCTGTGAAGTCTGGTTCATCTCAAGTGAAAGATGACATAGATCCTAGCAATATGGTAATTTTTGCTTATTTCATATGTTTTCTTTAGTCTTGTTTTTTCTGAAATGCTGCACCACAAATGTAAATAGTGATACTGTCTAAGGTGGAAACTCTGGCAAACAGCACTTTTTTTTTATTTTAAATGCTGCTTTTCCTCTTTTCGTGTGCAATTTTTTATATAAAAACAAGTTACATCTTGTTTAACATTGTCTTCAAATTTACACCTCTTTGATAAAAGGTGGTTTTCCAATTTGTAAATAATCTTTTACTCTCTATTTATTAGTTACATGCATGTTTTTTATGCTACATTGGTGGATTTTAGGTTCTCTGTAATAGCATTATGGGTGCGTTCTGCTTAGCATCTCTCCAAGATCTCCTCTGATTTACAAAAAGCATTGCTCTTTTAAAAGTTGAATTTTAGGCAAGAAGGGTTCCTTTAGTCTTCTGATGACAAACTTGTGCACACAGTTCTACTGCAAAAAAGATAATTTTGGTGGAATTAAATAAAGGCTGAACAGCTTGATCTTTTTAAGAGTTGATTGATTATACTTTGATTTTTCTCAAACACTGTAACATAAAAAAATATTCATACTCTTGTTTTCTAGATGCCTCCTCCTAATCAGCAGCCATCCCCAGGTCAACCATTTCCGTTGTCAACTGTTAGAGAAGAATCTTCTATTCCTAGAGCGCATTCTGACAAGAAATGGGTCTACCCTTCAGAGCAAATGTTCTGGAATGCTATGCTAAGAAAAGGGTAAATAAATACATTGTGAATTATAAGATGGAATACTGAAGTAATATCATTAGTTATTATTCATAATTTTTGAAGAATTTGTGGATTCTAACTGGTGAATAATTACCTAGCTCTTTTTAAAAAGTACTGTTTTATACACATGTTTATTTTAAAGGGTGAGCTGGGCTCAAAAGCTGCGTCCCTTGTAGTGAACAGGAGGATGTTAGGAAATGTCAAGCAACTGCTAATGGCTCAGTAAATTTTCTTATAAGTCTGTGCATCGGCATAAACCAAGTTTGCAAGATTTCCAACTGTCAAACTCAGTTGGCTTCATGCTACGCCTATAAACTGACAGTAAAAGTTCTGTGATTGTGAGAACAACTAACTTGACTTTGCAGAATTGCTAAAAATGTGGAAATTTACAAGTAGATATTTTTGGTATTTACAGAAATTTAGTGTAGGCAAGACCTTACTTAATGATTGTCTCCTGTGGCCTAAAAAACCTCCTGTGCTGCTGTTTCCTTGTTCCTATGTGTAGTCACAGTGTAGGGTCAAGGCAGATGAAAGGCATTTCTAAGCATGCAAAATGTATTGAATACAGGACTTCTGTGCATTAGGAATGCAAGTGGGATTTTTCCTAAGCATTTTTATGAGTCCTGTGGATGTGCTGATGTTTGCACACTCTGATAACTTTCTGATCCAGTTAAGCTTTTAATTTAGCTATGTAGAATTTGTGGATCTCTGTGATGATAACTTCGATAACTACAATTCTACACAGAAGATGAAGTGGTTCTCAAGATGCTTAAACAGATGAGCCAGAAGTTTAAATACTTGTCTTGTGTCTTTGCATAAAACCTTAATTCAAAAATCCATCAGATAAACTGAGGAAGGTGGAGTAGTTATGCTGTAATGCTTATAAACTGTTTTCAAGTTCTTATTTTTTAGGTGGAGATGGAAAGATGATGACATAACAAGTGAAGACATGACCAACATCATAAAGATTCACAACCAAAATAATGAACAAGCTTGGAAGGAGATTTTGAAGTGGGAAGCCCTTCATGCTGCGTATGTACATACGAAATGTTATGTATGAAATATTTTTCATTGTGTTACGACAAAGATATGAGATGTAAACTTAGATCAGCAGTGACCGGTGTAAAGCAAACTGTCAGGTTTTAGATCAACATAGTCCCTGTTCCTACACAAGAGACAGACTAGTTAAGCAATGCTGTATGTATAAATTTTTCTCTGAAATTTTGTGATATTTGGATTATGGTTTTCTGTTCTTTATTAAATCTGTGGATTAGATTTGCTGAGAATGCTCTGTTGACAAATTAGAACAATGTTGTGGAGCATATCAGAGGTACTTTATCATACCAGCAGTAAGTGCTGGCAGAAATTGGGTGACTTTTCAGACTTTTTAAAGAAAAAAAAAAGTTGGTTTAGATCACTTGTAGTTATTTTTTTACTGTTGTTCTTTCTTCTATTCAGTTTCTCCATTACTAAAACAAATTACCATAGTGGTTTAATCACTTAAAATAAGGCTGCTTTTGAAGGTAAAAACTACTTTCCTTCTTAATTGTGTGTGCAGGGAATGTCCATGTGGACCATCACTGATGCGGTTTGGAGGCAAAGCAAAGGAGTATTCACCAAGAGCCAGAATACGTTCATGGATGGGGTATGTGGGCAGGAAGGGTCTTCCAGTGAGGTGGGAGGTTAAGGAGATGTGTCTGAAAATGTGGTGTAGAATTAATTGTAAGATTTTTCAGGACTGGTATTGGAAGTTAGAATTGCCAGAAGATAGAAGTACTAGTGGGATCTTATGGATAAATAAATCTTGAATAGGACTTCTGCTCCTTCTCCCGGGTTCATAATATTTATCAAAATATCTGTGTGTTCTACTGTCCATCTTTCCAGATATGAGCTACCCTTTGACAGACATGATTGGATTGTTGACCGGTGTGGAAAAGAAGTGCGCTATGTTATTGATTACTACGATGGTGGAGCAGTGGATAAGAACTACCAGTTCACCATCCTGGATGTGCGCCCTGCTTTGGACTCTCTTTCGGCTGTGTGGGACAGAACAAAGGTAGCCTGGTGGCGCTGGACTTCATAACTGCTCCTGTGGTGTGTACTCAAAAAGTAACTATTTTCCTCCTAGACAAAGGATAAGTGAATACCAGGACTTGAAACTGAAGTTCACTGCAACTGTTATTGTTTTCAGGATCACCACTGTTCTTTGGGGATGGGAAGGGAGGACAGGGAAATCTGTTGTTAAGCACACCAATGCTTTTTGGTGTTTCAAATGGAATAATAAAGTTATAGCAGCAAAAACATGTATCTTAATTTTCTTAAAAACTGGGGAACCTTTCTTATTTTGGCTCATATTGTGCATAAGCTTGCCGACTCCTCATTTCATGACTTTGGTGCTGCACCAAATACATTACAGCTCTGATTCTGAGTTTTGAGTATTAATTAGTGAGAACTGGAAATCTCATAAATCACTTCACGTAGTTAAAGTGTTTGGATACGTCAGTGATGCATAGAGGGTAAAAGATCTGGACTGTTTCGAACTGCATGTTTTACTAACAATATAAACCCATGTATTTGTTTTCACGTGGGCACTTTACGTATTCAATAACATGCTTCCTCAGAAAACTTCAGTTGAGGTCATTCAGTTAAAGGAAGTATAGTGTAGTATGAGTATTTTAAAGGTATGTTAAATTGAAAAGGAGAATATACTCATGCTTTAATCTGCAGTTTATCTTTGAACAGAAGATCATCTGTTAGAATCAGGAAATGAGTGTCACTTTTAAAACAGCATTTCTAAAAGGAGATAAATTTGATATTTAATGGCTATTTATTTGAGTATTTAAAAGGTTTTTCTGATGTAAGAAAATGTATTATTTTAGTGTTTTCATATCTTTCATGTGTGTCATGTAATGCATTCAATACAGAGATAAGCCTTATTTAAAGAAACTCATGCAGTGCATCTGTATTTGGCATCTTGGCTTCATCAACTGTGTTGTAGCATGTTTGTTTGATATAAAACAGAATCGCACAAGAGTGTGTGACTACACGGTCACGTGTGATTATAGCGAGGCCTGTTACAGCTGTGTATATAACTTGGCTAACGGTATCAAAAGTGCCAAGAAATACGGTTGATTTGAATGTTTTCTAAGAATGATGCGTGTTAATGCTGTGTGGATTAAAGCATTGATTAATGGTTGTGCTTAATAAGGGAAACTGTCTTTTTTTTTAAGTCTTCCACTGTCATAGCTTTAAATTTCCATGGCTCAGTAAGTTGGAAAGGAGTAAGAGCAATATCACATTGTAGCTTCTCAAATGGGGGAAGCTGCCTTCAGAAAACTTCCCAGCCTTAACTGGGAAACAGCTGTTTCATTTTCTAAGTACTTAGGTTTAACTGCCATTGGAAGCTTTTTTTTCTTTTCTTTGTTCTTCTTTCTTTTTTTTTTTTTTTTCTTGCGGGGAAACTCCCCAACTTCCCCTTTGGGAAAAATTTAGTCAGGGAAGCTTTCATACTTTAGAATTCTAAATGGTTCCCACTTCAGAGACAACTGTTATGCATGGTAGGAATAGACATTACCCAGAAGTCTAGAATCCTAAGAGGAAAACCACGCTCTTACCCATACCCGCTTTGCTCATTCCTTTTTCACATTTCTAGTGATTCATATGTATATATATAAATGATAAATAGGAAAAGAAAAAAATTCCATCTGAGTAGGCAGAATATGTATAAGGTATATGAGAAGTGTGTGAGCTTGTATGAAGACATATCTGACAATGAAGTAACTGCTTCTCTGTTCTAACAGTAAAGATTTAGGCTTACTGCTTTTTGGGGTTTTTTGGGTTTTTTTGATTGGTTTATGCATCTGGTAACTTGATATACTGAGGATTCTGTGTTTCTCACAACTAAATATGGAAAGGGTACACCACTGTAGGGGTACTTCATTCAGAAGGTTCAAAAGAATGGGTTTGCTTGGTTGGTTTTGGCAGTGTGATGTTGAGTGCATTATGGAAATTTGTTACTGCTGCTAAATCTGGTGAAACCTGTCACATGCCACTTCATGCATTCACTGTCTCCTGTTACATTTCATCTTCCATAGATTCAAAGTTGTTCTTTACTGTGCTACTGTTAATGAAATGTTCTACTTTGTCATCAAACTAAAAGGAGAATCAAATAAATATACTTTTCTTAACTTTGGTGATCATACTTACAGCTAAAAGAATTATTAAGATGAGCTTTTGCACGTGTCATATGAGATTATAGTCTGTTACAAATATAATCTTGTTATATATTTGATACAGTCATTATATATTATTGTCACATCTTTGAATATATACTACTCATTTTTTAAGTGAATACAGAACCAAAACCCAAGGACTAAATTCAAGTGTTTGTTACCAAACCAGCAGTTCTCAGAATAAGAGCATATGACAACAAATATATTCATCCTGAGTCTGGCTAATTTTAGAGGAATGCACGGAAATAAATAAAAAAAAAGAAAAAATCCTAGAAGTGTCAATGAAAGTAATTAATTTCTACAAGCAGTAAGACTTAAGGAAGTAAACACAGAGGTTTTGTTTTTAGGCCTGGGTTATTTGATGCAGGCTGTTGGCAATTTGCTATTTTTCAGGAGATGGGTGTAATTTCAGAAGAATGATTAGAATTCTGATGTAAACTTGAAAAACAGTGATTTAAATGTTTTTTGGGTTTTTTTTAATCCTTAGGAAGGATGTTTCAACTGAAAAACTATTGTTTAGGCTATACTAAAGGAAGTATGTGAGTATGCATAAATAAATACATTTATATCATTTCTTTATAAGTATAGAAAGGTGTGGAGAGTTTGTGGAGCTCAAGAAAGTGAAGAAGTATCCTGAGCAGGCCCTTTCAAGGAATTCTGCAGTGACATCAGGTTTCCAGTCAAGCTGAAACAGAATTTTGGAACCCAGCATCTCGAACCAAGGTTAACCTGTGCACATAAAAAAGGAAAAATGCAGACTCTCAGTAAAGATGGGTCACTTTTTAAATTATTTTTGTATTTAGATATCTGAAGTTTACCTATGTTCTGCTTTACTGGGTCAAAGCCCTGCTTGACCTATTTTGCTTGAGTCTTGCAGCTAAAACGAGTTAGGAGTGCCTTCCTGGTCTGCCGCTGAAGGTGTATGTGGTTCTTCAAGGATATTGGGGTGCTCAGAAACTGCAGGCTCTGTGACTGATAGGAAAGGGCTCCAGCATAACACTTCAGCTGTAATCAGGTCTTGGGTCATCTATATGTGGTCAAGAGTGATCCTGATCTGTGTCGCCTGGAGCAGGAGACCTTTCTGCTTTCAAATACCCTGCAGTCGGTGTCTGGCACAGTGCTGCCGGTCTGGAGGCACTGATCGTGTGGTTGCTGTGCCTACAATACCTTCCCTATTCAGTGGTGTTGGCCCAACTCTTCTGCAGCTTGTCCTGTTGGTGCCTGGCCAAACATGAGTGCTCTGTAATTGGGGAATAAGTCAGAGTCAACCTTCTGGCATGCCTGGAGTTCCTGACTGAGTCATCCTGTAACATTTTGCCTTTGCAATGTAGTAGCAGGCAGTTTGGAAGGGGGAGCTGTTGCTCTTCTTCTTTTATTTATTTTTTTTCACCTGCCCCCTAGAAACATGTTTGCTGCTCCCTTTCATATCGTGCCAATGGTCTTAGCTTCAGTCTCAAAATTTTTCAGCTAAGCCCCAGAATTTCTGCACTGCTTTGCTGTAAAAGAAACTGTTCCTTTGAGAAGGTAGTTGTGTCCCTTGATTATTGCTACTTCTTGCTGCCAAAGCAAGGTGTTTTGAATTACTGTTTTTGAATTATGAGGTGAAGGAGATATGCTAGTTTAATGTGAAATGCTCTCTAGTGTTTACATAATGTATTTACTATCAGGACTTCAATGTGCTCTGTAAATTTGAAGTCTGAAATGTGCTGATGAATACTGTTTAGCCTTCAAAAGGTGTGAGTGTGGCAAAGGATCTCTCAGTGCTCTGAAAATGGTCATAAATAGACTGTCATCTTATGCACTCCCTTTTTTAATTCAACTCTTGTATCAAAGTGTGGGGAATAATAGCTAATGTGCCAAATTTCAAAAGAGGGAGGCACAGATACTAACACTGCTGTAGCTCAGCAGCTAAAAATGAACAGGTAAACTAAGGAGCACTGCCTAATTTTTGAACTCTTACTAATGTTTGTTTTTTATAGAGAGTAGAAATGCCTCTTTTAAAACCACCACTTTTTAAAAAGATCTGTTACTACACTTACTAAATTAAATTGCACATTAATTTGTCTCCCTTTGCTTACACCTGGAGGAGAATCCATGTAGTAAGGTTCCACAAGCAGATGTGGAACTTGATGTGGAAGCTGAACTTTTTGAGGATAGAATATACTACTCAGTGCTAGCTGTGCTTATATCTTCAGTATCACACCCTTCCCTACTCATAAGTTCTTACTTTTTTTTTTTTTTTAAATGCACAAGATTGGTAGTTTTTGGCAGATTTTTAATAGGCAACTTCATGCATTTCTACTCTCACTGGAAGAAAATATATTCTATTTATTCTACCTTTGTACAAGGTAAATTGCTGGCAAAAATCTTTATGGAGTGAATCAAGTAAGTATTGATTCTCTCATCAATGTTAGCATTAGGAACCTGTGGTCATACTAGATATGTCATGTCATAAAAAGCAACCTTTTTAGTTTATATTAAATGGCTAATCACTATTATATGCAATTCCTTCAAGAAGAAATGGCTTGCTAAACTCCTAGAGAAAGAATCTTAAATTCTTCTTTGAATGTGACAGTTACATCTATTTGATCTTATTACATGTACATCAAATTGCAGAGAAACTTCTGGACAGAGTACACGTCTTGACTCCAGATCTAATTGTGAGGCCTTGAGCATGTGTAAAATAATGCATTATCCACCAGTGAGCTGCTGATTCTGATGGCAGCTCCTCACATCTCCACATTTGCAGCATGGGTAGATACTTTGTGACTGGAGTCTGAATGAATTCAGTTTTCAAAGGATAATGTAAATTTATTGGAAATACTGAGATTGTTATTAGGGCTTATTAAAAATAAAAGATCATTTCCTTTGCCGATGTCCAGTTTGGACCATGGCCTCTTGCATAGAATAGAAACCACCAATTTGTTTTCAACATACTATGGAAAAAAAAAAAGACCTAAGTCATGTTTTTTGTTTTCCAATGTTTTGCTAATTTTGTGGTAACTACAGAAAGTTTTAGCTATTTTGCTAACATACTGCTGCTCTTGCCTCCAGCTTCTGAAGACTGTGACCCCATAAACCTCCTGTCTGTAGAGACAGCTAATGCTTTAATTGATCATTAGTACACTTTCAAAATGAGTTTCCATCTGCCAAAAGATTAAGTATCTCAGGGAATTGACTTAGAGCAGTTTGATGCATGGAGTATAAATGCAAGTGCCTTTAAAAAGCACTGATAGATCACAAATCCTTGAAAAACTTGCTTCTAAAATACTTAAAGGAAAAGTAATAGAAAATATTTTTTCTCTGATTTGTTTTTTCTCAAATTAGAGAAGGTCTTTTTTTTTTAATATATCAATGAGAGTTTCTTAGTTCGTTTTCAAAAACCGAAAAGCAAAACCTCATGAAAATGTTGAATTTAACCTTAGAACAAACCATGTAAATTTTGGCAGCTTTAATTTGCAGTGTAGATTTTTTGTTAAATGAGTTTATTCCAACAGCAAAAGACTACATGTTTTGGGCTAAAAAAAAAAAAAAAAAAAAGATGAAAACTTTTCTACTAGCTGTACTTGAGAATACCAGGGGAAAAACACCTCCATAATTTATCATGTATTTTCCTCTATTACTGGGGTTGCTTCTCCTTCTGTTTTCTTCAAGCTTTTGCCATTTAGCTTATTTGGAGAGATCTTTACACATTTTCATGTTGGTTTCTCTCTGCCACTTTTGTACAAGCCACTTTTGGGAAAACTTCTACCATTGCAATAACACAGTTATTATTACAGAAATGGTACCTTCTTTCTTATGTATCAGAAGAAGCAGTGCTACTTAACTCAGGTAAGGACAGTTCTAGCTGGTAAGAATGCCATTTTGGCTACAGTAGAGCTGGCAACATTGTTGTAGCAGAAAATATGGGAACTGCCGTTGTCTTTTGGGTTGTAGTGGTTATCCATCACCTTTGCTGTGGTTATGGGTTCCTGTGTTTGTCTTGTGCCCCCAAAAGGGGCAACTGTAGTGATTTTTAGACTCTCCTAGTGGTCCTTTAATGCCTTCTGGAGTACACGCCTTTATGACTGCGTGCAGTTGTGGTAGAGGAGAAGCGTGAGTGGCTGGCATGAAAAAGATGGTGAAAAGGTATAAATGGACACCTTTTTTCCCAAATGTTTATCTCCCATCATCCCCATATCGCCAGTGGTGAAACAGAGCTCAGATCCATCCAGCAGTGTAATTACCTGGGAAGCATCATCTCCTCAGACGGTAAGATTGATGCAGAAATAGACAACAGGTTAGCAAAGGCATACAGAGCTTTTGGTAAACTCCATAAAAGAGTGTGGCAAAACAAACACCTGAAGAAAAGTACTAAGATCACTGTGTACAGAGCCATTGTACTGTCTACTCTTTTGTATGGATCCGAATCATGGGTCATTTACCGGCACCACTTGTGCCTCGTAGAACGCTTCCATCAGCGCTGCCTCCGTACAATCCTAAACATCCACTGGACTGACTGTGTGACCAACACGTCTGTCCTTGAACAGGCAGCAGTCACGAGCATTGAGGCCATGCTGCTGAGAACACAGCTGCGCTGGGCAGGGCACGTCTCCAGGATGCAGGACTGCCGCCTCCCTAAGATCGTGCTCTGTGGGGAACTTGCCACTGGCTGCCGCAAGAGAGGAGCCCCGAAGAGGAGATACAAGGACTGCCTGAAACAATCCCTCAGCCTTGGCCATATTGATCACCACCATTGGCCTACCCTGGCCTCCAATCGGGAGGCCTGGAGACACACCATCTATAACGCTGCTGCTGCTTTTGAGAACACACGCAGGATCACTCTCGAGGAGAAAAGACAACGCAGAAAGAATCGCGTCTCGTCGATATCACCTGGGGAGTCTTTCTGCTGTGCCTTCTGCAACCGGACTTGTCTATCTCGCATTGGCCTTTTTAGCCATCAGCACGCTTGTAGCAAGCACAGGTAGAGCCCTTCTCAAATCTTCGTTCGCGAAGCCTAGCCATGATCTACTCCTTCTCTGATTCACCACTCAGGTTAGGGGAAAACAAGTCTAAATGCACTGTTTTATATATAATCACTAGTGGTTGTCGAAGCAACACCTAAATGATTAAGGCTGTTATTGTAGTGAGTGGAAAGCAAAGGATACTGCTTTTGCAAATCACACTGAGAAGATTAAACTTACCTATGTACGAAAGGTTGCATTCTGTTTGCCTTTTCAGGCAAAGTGGAAGATACTGGTGGCACAATTGTTTTATGACAGGATGTTGGAGCTGGTTTAATGTAGGCTGACTAAAAAGTGGAGCTTTACTTTTTTAACCTTGTCACATGCTGATGGGAAAGCATCCACTTGAAGAGTATGGCTAATGCTATTCTATCAAACACTGCAATGTTTGATGAAATCATTAAAAAAAAAAAAGGAGGGGAAATAAGATCTTGGCTTTCAATTTAATAATAATGGAATATGAAGGCCAGATTGTAACTGTAGAAGTTCATTTCAAATTTAAATATTTAGCATTTTCAGTTGTCTTTGAATACAAGAAAACTTATTACATTAAGATGGAATTCAGATCTTTGACATGAAGCTGATATTTTCATAGCGTGAAAAATATCAAGCTGACATTATACTGTCTTATTTGATGACTTCCAAATGTCAGAGTGCAGTAACTTATTCATAGGGACCTCCATGTCTTGTGATAGTGTCAATTTAAAAGACATTTACATCGACTTTTTTATTTAAACGTGTAAAATGGAGTATGCAAAGTATATGAGGAGAAGGGGGAAAGACCGGGGCAAGAAAGTTCTTAACAATATAATGAGGCACTTCTAAGGCTAATTTCCAGGACAGCCTTCTGACAGCGGCAGGGCCTGCACCCGGCAGTGCCGCTCCCTCTCCCCAGCCCAGCGCTATCGCGTTTCTTGTTATTTCAACTGAATTTAGGGACTTAGAAAGAGCAGGGCATCCTCTCCTGAAAAGTAACCCCCCTCTCCCTTTTAAAAGTGATTGTATGATATCGGAAGATACTGAGCGTTTGAGATCATTATGCCTGGGAGTTAAGGGTGCTGCTGGCTGTGCTAGACCTCGGTGTGATGGCTGGTAACAGGATTGTCAAGCCACAGTGACTCAATACAGGAAACCTAATTTTATATTCCAGTAAATCACTGTGTATGGGTGTGTGCGGCTGGCTGCGCACTGGCGGGCCGCGCACGGCCCGAGGTCGGATGGTCGCACAGCGCGGCGGGCCCGGGGCGGGAGGGAGGCAGGGCAGGAGGGCGGGACGCGGCGCGGGTGCCGCCACAGCCCGGAGCGGCCATTTTGTTCGCGTCCCTGCGACGCGGGCCGGGCCGGCGGCGCCCCCTGGCGGCCGTGGTGCCGCGCGCGCGGCCGGCAGGGGGCACCGCGCCCGCCCCCGGCGGCCATGTCGGAGCTGGTGCGGGAGGAGCTGTCGGCGCTCGCCGCCATCTACTGCGAGCCGGGCGGCTGCGAGCTGCTGGCGGCCTCAGGTGATGCGGCTGCGAGCTGCCGGCGGCCTCAGGTGATGCGGCTGCTGGCGGCTGCCCCCGCGGCAGCCCGGCCCCGGCAGAGGGTGCCCCGGCGCCGCTCCAGGCGGGGCTCCGCCCGGCAGGACGGCACTGGCTCAGTCGCTCGCTGCCCGTCCCTGACCCGCCGTGTGTCGGTGCTGCCGCGCTTGGCGCACGGAGCCCAGCGGTCCCTGCTCGGTTATAGTTAGCGACCTTCGCTGTCCCGGCTGTGCAGCAGGCGAGGGAAGGGGCTGGCTCTTAGCTAGGTAGATAAGCAGGTGAATCTCATACGTGTAACAAGACCAGGTGTTTATCCTGTAATACTTAATAGGGGTGTAGCTTTTGCTGTGTATGAGAATGGCGTGAGACCATGCTGTGCTTGGGTAATTTCTGTTTTTCTGTGCTAAGGTGATAGTCTGGACCCTGTGATGTGCCAGATGTGTATGGCTGTAGGAGTTACAGGGTACTGAGGCTGGTGTGTCGCGTCTGGTGCTGGTGGAATGGTCAGAAGGTCTGTACTTGCTCCCTTCTGCTGCTGGTTGTTGCAGGATAGGAATGCAGTCAGTGTAGGTACCTTTACTTCACGGTTTCTGCAGTAGCCACTGTTCAGAACGTAGTGTTAAGGGATGACATTTATCAGTCTGTGCTGTGTGGTGGATGTGAAGATGCCCCTTCAGCAAAGGAGAATAATCCTTAGTAGTTCCAGTGTACAAGAGCAGTTACTATCAGGCTTAAGTGTCAGGTGGCATATGCAAGTGTTGCGTGTCTGTTTGAGATCCAGATCATAAGTAGATTTTGCTTAGAGCATACCACGGATGTGACAACTTTCTTTCTGTTTGTTGGAGGGAGATACAGACACACACAGACACACAGAACATGCCTGTATTCTTTATCACTCTTCCCTGGTGCCCTAGGAGCTGTTGCAGAGTACTGCCCAGCACCCCAGCAGAGTGATGGACAGCAAGTGGCTTCCTGCCGGTTGGACTGCACTGAAGTCCTGGGGAATGCTGTTAAAGATGGATGCAGTGGCCTGCTGTCAGATTTTGTCTGCATATGTGTGTATTCAGCTTGAAAGGACTGGGATTGATAAGGAAACACTTCCTTACTGTGAGGCTAACTGAGTGCTGGAAAAGGTTGCCGAGAGGTTGTGGAGTCTCCCTCCCTGGAGATAGTTGAGAGCCATCTGGATGTTGTCCTGGGCAGCCTGCTGAAGGTGCCCCTGCTTGAGGGGAGAGGTGGGATGAGGTTCCTGCTAACATCAACCATTCTGTGATTTCATGAAAATAGCTTTGTTCTCTGAAGTTACATGTGGCTGCTTTTGAGCGACTCATTTTAACTAAAAACTGTGTGTGTAGACAGGCTCAGAAGGATGAAGACATCAGTGTCTGCAGGGAGCACAATTAACTGGGGTAATCTAAAAGCAGAATTTTGTGTCTCAATCTGCATGACACACCTCTTGCTCCAGTGTAGGCATGTAATTCTGCCATTTTATAGGGTTGTATTTTTAAAATATGATTGGTGAAATGTTTCAGCTGAGCTTTATCTTCCTAAAGTGAAAAAGTTCAATAATGTCATTTTGGGCATAGTTTGAAAATACAGTATCCAGGCTTATCAGATGTTAATTTTAAAAATTGTGAACATACCTGAACAGTGCATAAAAATGTCTATTCCTCCAGATTTGTTAGAGAAACATATGCACGTTCTTCTTTGTGCTTCATATATGGAAGAAATAGTTTTGTATTTGTAAGTTACCAGAACGTAAAAGGCTTAGAAGCCTTCCTGGAACATAAAGTGAGGTATCACAAATGCACAACGGGAACAGGCTATTTTATTTATATTGACGTTTTGTGACCTTGCAGGGCCTTTAGCTGGGCTGTGTTCATGGTAGGTTAGGATCAGGTATCTCTGGTTGATTTCCATAGTTTTCTGTTGGAATTGAAAAGATTATTTACAACAATGATTATTGGTATTTTTCTTACTTTTGGATTTTACCTTTCCTATGTTGGAGCTACAGAATCCTTTAGTCTGTATACCATTAACTTTTGCTGTAGTCATTAGCTTACATTTGCTTTATCTCTTCGAAGCATATAAATTGTCGTTGACAGACGGTGCACAGACTTAACTTTCAGTAAGACTGTTATGTTATGCTGTATCTAATACATTAAGAGTAATTTGTGTGTAGATCCACAGGATCAAAAAGGGGGCCATTGGGGATTTATGGCTTTGAGGAATGTAAGAAAATTCTTTTGCAGGTCTCTTGGTATGGTAAAAACTTTGGCGTTCTGGAATTTAACAATGAAGTATTCAGAATGTAAAATGTGTTTTTATCAAAACCAATGTGTTGATGAATTTAAATAAACTAATTACAGCATATCTTTTTTACCTTACGTATCTATGTGCAAAGATTAGTGTTACAGATAGAAATCCATAATTTAATTGTTAATCTGTTCTCTTCTGGTCTGCTCACCAACCTTGCTATAAAAATATATTTAGATATTCTAAGCTTGTACGTTAGTAGGTGCCATTTTCTGAATTTAAAAATAGACTGCATGTGTTGCATAAAATGCCTTTGGGCAGGAGAGGAGGGGGATATCTGTCTGGTTGACATGGAACATAAGAAAAAATCTGAAGTATGCTAGAGCTAAATATACTGATAAGCATGCAGCTATGGGGAAAATGAGTTAAAATGTATTGAGTTTAGTCTGATTAGCACATTAAATGCCAGCAGAACAGTCATACCCAACCTTTTATTTCAGAAATAATCACCATGTTGCTGTGAAGACAACTCAGCCCTTGTAGCATGTGCAAACAAAGGAACTGTTCCTTTGGAGCCAGGTTGTGCGGGGTGCCGGTGGTTTGCTCTTTGTTCTGCCAGCGTCTGCAGCGCTGGTGCAGAAAATGGACGCTGCAACGTTTAAATAAACTTTGGATGTTGTAGCCCCACAAAGGTTTTGAACTGATTGTCCTTTTTTAAAAGTGAGTCTGGAGCAGATGTAAATGAGCACGACTGGGCTTTTTTGCAATGGCTCAGGGTGATACACCTTGGGATGCGAGGCTGTGCTCCTTCCTTTGGATTAGTTCATCATCACAGGGAGAGGTGTCAGATTGTTGCAGGCTTAGGAATAAGATCATTGCAGCAGGAGGCCCTTGTCGAAGGGGCAGGGTTGGCCTGTCTGTTTATCACTAGGTTACTTCTGAGTTAGTGAGATCTGTTATGACAAGCTAGTGAAAAAATCCTAGGAGGATTATCAGAAAGGTAACATGTTTTTCTGTCACTGTAATTAAGCTGGCAATAGAGTAGTATTCTTCAACTCTTATACAGGTTGTGCATTTTAAAATCTCTTGGCAACATAGCTGAAAATAAAGTGATTCACAGGCAGGAGCACAGTAATGTTCCTGCCGTTCAGCCAGGTGCAGCTTGCTTCCAGCTGGCTGCACCTGGTGGGGCTGCCCTGCATAAGGGGTGGCTGAAGCAGGTGGGGCAGGAGGCACTGTCTTGTGTCTGGTGTGATGCTCAGCTGTGTGTGGAGACCCTCGGTGGTGGCCGGCAGGGTGCTGGGGGTCCCAGGAGGTGCAGTGCAGGCTTTTCTTCTTGTGTCTGTGGTTATGTGTGCTGAGAGTAATGGTAGAGGAACCATCTAGTTCCCAGGAGCCAGTACCCGGGAAGAAACATTTGTCAGGGCAGCAGAAGACACAGATTAGAATGGGAAGGCTTGAGGTCCTCCTGCATAGCTACTTACCATGTGTGAGGGTCTCTTCCAAGGCTTGTGCTTTTTTGAGGAATACATTTGCCTTTAAAATAGCCTGGAACCTTTCATAGCATCTTGGAAGACTGGAGATGAATCGTGTTGGCAGGAAACAGCAATTTGACATGTAGTGCCTGTAGGTATGGGTATGGTTGGGTGTAGTTTCGTTTAATTCTCTAGATTTGCATCTGCTGCTTTCAGCACTGAATTTGACTCTTTTTAGGTAGGGATGGTTTGTAGATGTTTGGAGACTTCTTTATAGTACTGCTAGACTTTGACTGTTGGGTTTGGAGGGTTTCCTGATTTTATTTTGTGACTGCCCTGACCTAGAGAGTTCTTTGTATGATCTGGTAAGAAGGTTTGGAATCAAACCCTTGGGTTTACTCTCTAAATTGCTTCTGTCTGTCCAAGTCACTTTTAGGTCCTTTCACTTATTTAGTAAGTTTCTAATATACAATCGTGGAGAGGTTGGTTAGCAGTGTCAGCAATACTAATCAAACATAATTCAACTGACTGTCATGTAAAGGAAGGTAAGGTAAGGTAGAGGGAGAAGAATGCAAGTCACTTCAAAAGAGCTGCTCTGAAAATCAGCTCTGCTCTAATCTGCCTTTCAAATCTGACTTCTGCTGCCCTCATAGAATGAATCAACCTGACATTTTAGCAATTTTTTTAAAGAAAAGGGGTGAAGTGCTTAGAATGCATCAAAGGGGTGAAGCAGAGAACGTCTGAAGAAGATCATCTTTTATCTGATTGATACCCTCTTACTTCATGGCAGAGGAGCAAAAGTAGGTTAGGTCTTGGTCCCCGCTTTTCACTTTGTCAAGTTTTGTATTGTTTTTTCATGAAAGGTTTTATTTCAGGAATTACTGTATATAACTTTCATATTAAGCATCTTTGATGATATGATTTATCAGGAGGATGTGGTCTTTAGCTCTTCCTGCTGCATGCTATATGTATCCTTTTCACTCTGAATATAATTCTGTTCCAAAGTAGGCCTGCAACAGGTTTTGAGTAGATAATCAAATATATAAACATACATTTATTTAAGTATATGTGTATTTATATATGTAGTATCTATGGTCAGATATCCAACAGAGTTGTTTTCATTATATCAATCCAACTGTTGTAGAGGAGTTGACAGACAAGATTTAAGCATATTTTTTCTGCAAGTTGTAGAGGACAAAGAATCCTATTTCTTTCTTTCCAAGTCTCTTGTTAATGTGGAACTGCTTTTGACTGGTTGTCTTAAAAAATACCCAGTGCAAGTCTGTTTGCCTTGCACTGGTATTGATGTTAGAAGTCTTACAGATTTCTTTAGGAACAAAGTTAGGGCTGTGCTGAGTCCCTCCAGAAAAGTCTCTATTTTCAGTTGTCCTTGCTGCTGCTATTGAGCTGTAGAAGCTGAGTTATGTGTTTGAGAGAGACAGTTCTTTATTACTGGCTTCTCTAGACTTCAGAAGGGCCAAAATGTGTGAATACTTTTTAGAATGTGTTAATAACTTTCCTACTACTATGTTATGGAAGTGTTTCATTTCAGGATTCCCTGCAGGAATAGCTTGAGCCGTTGGGTACAACACCCCATCCTGCAAAAAACCCCCACACTCTTATTTTTTATGAAATTGCAGTCATTTGAGTAGAATTGTTAAAGAAAATAACATGACTTGATGATACATGTGTATTTAAACTTTAAGCAAACTATTAATGTTTTGTTTTGGTTTGGTTTTTTTTTATATACTTTCCAGAGACGGATGGAATCTCGTTTAGAATTCAAATCACTGTGAAAGAACTGCTGGATACAGATGTACTTTTAAAGTTGTTATTTCATTTACCAGTCAATTATCCATCAACTGTACCAGATATTTCTGTTAACTCAGACCAGCTTACAAGGGCCCAATGTATGGATGTGAAAGATAAATTACTTGAACAAGCAAAGAAGCATCTTTCTGAACCCATGGTACATGATCTGATTCTTTGGATACAGCAGCATCTTAAAGATGTCATTAAGCAATCAGCAACAGTTTGCAACGAAAAAACTACTTTGTCAAAAGGAGCAAGTGCAGAAGATGGTATCTGGATGCTCCTTTTGCATTTAGATCACATGAGAGCAAAGGCAAAATACGTGAAAACTGTGGAAAAATGGGCTTCAGATCTAAGGCTGACTGGAAGACTGATGTTCATGGGCAAGATAATATTGATTCTTCTTCAGGGTGACAGGAGCAGCATTAAGGTGCAGGAACAATGAATGTTGACTAGTTCTATCGATTTACCACTGAAGCCTACGTGTCTGAATATTTTGTCTGTGTTTTTCTAAGATTAATGATTTTGGAAGCAAATTGATCATTATGAGAGTAGGAAGGCTCAGCAACTTTATTCAGATTTAAGAAAAAGAAGGTATTCTATAAGAAAGAAATCAGTGGTATCTGTAGACCTGTGGTCTGTATTGCTTTGCTTCTCACTGTAGTTATACCCCCATATTCCCTTTGTTTCCTGACTTCAATATGCTTAGGTTCAGTTTCCTGTATTTCCCAAATGCCCAAAAAAGTAGAAAAAATTGTGGTGTGAATTTAATAACAGACATATTTCTAACTGTTTACTAACTGTCTCTTTCTTTGACTTGATGCTCCTTGTGCATGCCTGGGCTTTGAAATTCTTGCCTATGCTAATGAAGTTCCACTGCCTTCAGGTGGGTTTTTGTGGTGATGTTGGAGGAGAATGTTTTGGCTTTTCTAAATCACTTAAGCCTGCACTTAACTTCAAACTGATGAATAGAAGCAGTCATGCACTGTTTGGGATGGGCACTTTCAAAGTTTGATTGCTATACTCTGAAAAAAAAAGTCAGTATGTGTCATGAATTTTTGCATTTTTTACTAAATTTCGAAGATACTCAGTGACATTTAATATTTTGGTGTTGGGTTTTTTTTTATCATTTAGGAGTATTTGATTCTTCAGAAAACTTCTAAGGTAGATGTGAACTCAAGCGGAAAGAAATGCAAAGAGAAAATGATGAGTGTACTGTGTGAGACAGAAGTACAGTCACAGCATAAAAGGTATAATTTAGTACTGTTGTGGATAGAAAAGTTAACAGAATTGATAATTACATTCTGACAAATCTGAGCATGTTCATGAGTTTCCCTTTTACAATGTAGGTTTCAGAAATTTGAAGTCAAAGAATACTCAACACTGAAGGAGCTACAAAAGGAATTTGAAACTGCAGGACTTACAGCTCTTTTCTCTGAGTTTGTGCCTCCTCTCTTAAAATAAAATTAAAAGAAAACATGGGACCTTTGACCGAAGCAGTAGTTGACTGCAGATGCAGATGGAAGACAAAAAGACTAATGTGGCAGATGTTTTTTGCAAAAAGTGCCAGAGAAGTAGTCATCCTCTTGCAAGAAGAAGGCAATTCATCATTAAGAGTTGATAATTTTTTGACATTTATGTATTAATAACTTTTTCTAAGTAATATGAAGTTATATGTGATAATTGCATGGCAAACATGAGAGACTGGGAAGAAATAATGTTTTAAAAAGTCTTCTAGTCAGACTGTCTGTGTTTTTCAATGTTTTGTTTCTTCTCTCTCATGGTAGAGTTTGTTGATAATGGTCTGCTAGAAAGCATGATTAATTTTACTTTGGAAGATTATATGAAGATATTTCTATATAAAAACATACCAAACACAGATTTGAATATGGGAGGACAGCATACACTTAATATTCCTTAGGAGTTCATCTGCTAACTTTTCATTCTCCATTTAATTGACTATAAATGCTAGACTGTTGATTTAAAGAAAAATCTCATGTCACTTCGGACCTGAAAAAAACTTAGAAGTGTCTTTTTGAATGTTAGTTTTAATTCTAAAATGTATAAAAACACCCAAGTGGAGAATTTAAATTCATTAAAAGCTAAGGTGAAACCAATTGTAATATTTGCTTTGATAGTTTACAGATTCCTTTTTGCATTTTATCTGTTTTTACTGTCTGTGCATCTTTAGATATCTTGATTCAGTTTAACTGTCAGAGCTGCACGTATACAGACTTCTATCTCTCAAGACTTTGGCCAAGTGATTTATGTTTTTTTGGTGTGTTTTTGTTTGTTTATTTGTTTGGGTGGTGTGTTTGTTTGGTGTTTTTTGTTTGTTTGGTTTTTGGATTGGTCACTGGCCTTGGCCAGCTTATAGGGTTTTTTTAATCAGTAGTCTGTGTTTTACATTAGTATAATGTTACAAATTATGTACATAACTTTATAAACTATGCAAGTTGTGCAAGTTCTGTTTGCCTAGGGAAAATTGGATACTTATTTCTTACAATTATTAGTGTCATTTGATTTCTGTTTTACCTGACACCATTCTCTAGCCAGGCTAGATAAATTATCTGGTAATAAAAGTTTTGCTGTCATGAATTTCGCAGTAAGTAGCAGTGCCATTTCAATTGGTTTTAGCGTGCAGCTAAACATATGCTTTACTGCTCTCTGAAACTCACTCCTGCCTCATGTATTCTTTGTAAACTAAACAGATTTGATCAATTCAGTATAAATTAATTTATCTCCATTGTACTAGGGGAAAACCAGGACAATTTGGTTAGTTTCTGTCCTGGAAAATCATTATGTAAGATATGATTTCCAGTTTCATACTCAGACTGTGAAGTCATACCTCTTTCTTCATATCTCCTAGAAAAGCAACTAAAGCAAACTAGTAAGACTTTTAGGTTTTACTTTTTTTAGGTTTTGTTTGTTTTTTTTTTTAGGTATCAAATGCATAAGGAGTTGTAGACTACTGGAGAGTTTCTGAAGTTTTTAAGGAGTTTGGTAATTTTCCTAATATAGAGTGTCTCAAGTAGATATGTTGCATGTTATTTTGTGCACTGATGATTATTTAATGACATAGTAGCAAAAGTTCTTAATGAGTCTTTCATGTTTAGCACATATAATACTTCAGGCACAGTAGAAAACAGGCTGGGTTGAACAGGTTTTACAAATCTGTTCTAGATTATTTTGAAATGGCTTCCTGAGAGATAGGAATCTAATTTTCTATCATTTTAAGTGCACGTGAAGATGAATTCTTACTTTTATAAAGAAGAATGAAACAGAAGTATCTTTAAAATATTAAAATAACATGTATTTTGAATTAAAGTTTCCAGAATTGAGCTGTTCTCAGGTAAAATACCTATATTGAAAAACTGTGTGTCAGTGGAGTATGGTCTTGAAAAGTTGCAGGGGCTCTCTCCTTATACTATGCCACAGATCTGGCAAGTATCAAATGCAAGAAAAGGCCTATGCATGTATAATAAGAAAACATAATCAGTATCTTTCTGCAAAACTAAATGTTGTAAGGTTTTGCCAGATGGATTTCATGTCCTCAGCCAGATCTTTACTTTAAAGCCCTCCAGTTTTCTGGAACGAGAATAGTAAGGTACTTCAGCACAGTTTATATCACAATATTTTGCCATTAAAATCTACCTGGGGCCTTATCCAACATGCATATAAATCTGTTTTATATGCTTTCTGTTGCTTTCGGGAATAGGGTTGAATACCGTACGTACTCATGTGATCTCAAACTGCACATGACTTAAAAAATAATTGAGGCATAAGTTGTGGTCATCTTTCTTGCAAGATTAGATGCAGACTCACTAATTTTTTTTTTCCCTACAGAAAAGTCACTGTAATTAGCTTCACAAGAAAAGCTATTGGTAGGGTTAGTGGTTATATTATATTATATTATATATAATATAAACTGATGTATTTTCTTGAGCATTATTGCCTGATCCCTTCTTGATCAACTGTTTGGCCAGAGGTAGTATTCTGCAACAACCAATTAAAAATAAATAAATAAAAAAGAATTCTGTGTTTCAGGAGTTGTAAAATGCAGTTCATACAGTGGATTTTTATTATAGTTAAATTTGTTACTCACTAGCTTACACTGGACAAATCCACAAGTTCGCTGCAGGAAAGGACTGCAGGTTTTTTGGTTGGTTTGATGTGCTTCAGGAGAATTACAAATCTGATCAGCTTGATACTGTTCAGACAGCAGAGAACATGAAAACGGATGTCAGTCTGATTCTGTTAAAGCAAATGCTTTTGCCTACCCATCAATCACTCACTTATTTTGAAGGGTAGGAGGATATCTTCTGTTCAGACGAGTAAACAATATTTTTAAAGGCTGTTCTTTTGGAAGGATGTTGCAGCTGTCTGTTAACTGATGGTTTGTTTGCATTTATTGTAAAAAGAGATGGGCAAGCCTGTGAGCCCCTAGGGCACAAAAGTCATAAAAATAGGTATTGTGGTGCATGTTCTGCCCTCCAAGGGAACTGAAGCGGACATAGAAGAAGAACAAAACATGCATATACAGAAAAACAAAATGCAGGAAAAAGTCAAAACTCTTGAGAATTGTTACAGAATGCCTATCAGAGTTTAAAAAGTTTGTGAAGCGTATGTAGCTATCAGAATCTGACAATTCAGTTGCAAGGGAGAAAAAATCCACACATTAAAAATGATTTAACAAATAAGAAGCTAGATTTCTTGTGGATATTGTGTTATAAATAGTTCTTCAAGATGCACGGTTAGTAAAGCCTTGTTTCTGGTGGCCTGTCTTGTTTCTAAACAATGACACACATGAAGCCTTCCCTGCAGAAGATACATTCCTGATGGTGTTGTCCCAGGTGGGTTCCCCAGTGCCTGGTGTTGATTGTGCACAAATTGATTATTGTTTACATGAATCTTTAGAGTATGGATAGCATTCTTTCACCTGTTACCTTGTTCATCAAAGTTGTAGGTACTTGGTTTCTTTCAGGTTGTTAGCCTATCATTTTAATTGAAAAGAGTTAAATTCAAAGGTTCTAGGAGAACTTTGTAGTATAAACATGCATGCTTCTGTACAGACACCACAGATACATAACCATGGTTTCCTTTGAAAATCAGGCTAAAATGAAAGATGTTGCAATAGGACTGACAACTTGAAGAATCAAGTTTTTAGGACAAAACTGAGATTTGGTTGGTCTTTTTGAATACCTTGGCGTATTAAGTGTGAAGAAAATAAATATTGGGTTAAGAAGACAAGAAAGATCCAGAGGAGGGAAGTAACTTTAATAGAGGACATCATCAGTATTGTGAATTCACCTGCTTTTCGTATTTAGTCTCATTAATTAATTAGCACCCCCCACTCTGATCTGTTATTTGATGTTGCAGGGAGGACAGGACACTGTAAGAACTCATATATGAAAATCCCTGACGTAATCAATTAAAAGTAATTGAAAGTAGATTGAAAGTATATTGTTTTGTGAATAAGGCTGATTTTTGTGGTTTTGTAGTTCTATCTCATTTTCCTATAATAAGATCATTTGTCTCTTATTTCTGTTGTGCATGATGCAGAAAACCCACACAGATTAGTATAAATTATATGTAGAAGTACTGTAATGAGCCTAAAGAAACTTCTTAGTGGAAAAAATATTTTGTTTATGTTGTTTCCTTTAAAAATAGTTTAATAAACCCTGCATATGGGTGATTTAGAACTGAGTGTCCCTTGATTTGTTCAGCTTTATCTGTGAAAATACAAACATAATCATGTTATAGTACATCTGAAATAAGATGATGAAATGTTGCACTCACTGTATTTCTGCCAGAGTTTGAGACTGAAATTGCTTGTATTATGAAATAGTGCAATTGCTGGAATCAACTTCCATATATTTTATAGTAGTATTAAGCATTATCATCCTGTCTTTTTGTACATAACACATGCAACACTGGCAGCACTCCGTTCTGGCTTTGTATTTTCTATGTGTACATAATTTTGTTATCTTATGCAAGACTTATGATTGTTTATATTAATTATAGACATAAATGGAACTTGAAATGTAAATATGGTAATGCCATTTTGCAGCTTTTGTTCTGTGCTGTGTTCACGTATTGGCTTTTGTCTTAGTTTGTGTTGTCTAACTTCAAAGTACTAACCCACAGTGAAGAGAACTCTTTAGAATGACAGAAAAATTTGCCTAAAAGACATTAATTTAAGGAATCCTTTGGACTCTAAAAATGAATACCTTCATGCTTTCAGTTAATTATGCATTCAGATGCTTTAATTTTATGCTAATAAGGTAACAATTGCTGCACTTATTATTTTCTTTGTGTTTCTTAATGTAATACCTGTAATCTGTTTGTATCCTGTGTTAGAACATAGCTGATCGTGGAATTGGGGTCAATGTTTTATTAGTATTTCCCATTGTAAATATCTATGATTTATTATGTGTATGCATTGTTATCTATTGCAGCATGAATGCAAAGAGCTGTTTTAGAATGAAATTTGATATAAAAGGTCTCTGCATGAGAACAATATCTCTACTTTATGCTGCTTTTCCAGTGTCACCTTTTACGTTTCTGCAGCTATGGGAAGTGGTCAAATGAGCAGAGTTTTCTGGAGCAGAATTTAACAGGCCAAATCCCTGTGTTGCTCTGGATCTTGATGCCTGTGGGGTGGAGGTGGGGTACTCTGTAGGCCTTTATGGGACCACTTTTGGCAACATGGAACTGCTGCACTGAAGGAATTAGCTGGATATTTCTGGAACATTAAGTGAAGACTTGGGGGAGTTAATTTCACCGGTGTAGAAGCAGAATGGTTGACTGCTGCTTGATCCGAGCTTCACATCAGGAGAGAGCTCTTGGTACTCCTTTTATGTCAGTGCCATGGAGGGTAATAACCTGAAGTTTACGCTTGTGCTAATCACAGAGGACAAGGCACAGCAAAATCAGTGCCATGATTTCCAGACTGAAGGTAGTAAACTCAATGTACCTTTACTGTTTTTGAGGTGTACTTAGATAAAACAACACAAAATGATTTTGTTGGTCTCTGATCGGTCACTGATCTGTAGAGGTTTAGAAAGGCAGGGTACATTTTTGTGGGAGATGGTGCTATGAGTATCTTTCAGTCAAGATAATATAAAAAGCAGTTCTTTTTTAAAGTAAAGTAACTGAGTTGCTTGTGAGAACACTGTCCACGTGAGGTGCTGAGCAGAAGCTGAGCTGTATGGGTTGAGCTGTGCCAGAGGCTGATTTTTATTTGGTAGAAGTGGAGGTGTTAGAAAGGAACAGACGGCAATAAAAACTGGTGATGTGGCTCTCAGAGAAGCCAAAAGGAAGTTTTTTTGCATTGATTACTCTCTGGAAAGAAGTTTGGAAATATGAGCAAAGAAGTTGCTACTGTATCCAAGCTTCAAGTAGAAATGCCCGAAATAAATACGCAGCTTCATTGTCATTTTCTCTTTTTAGCAGAAGCGGCATGTAGAACTGAGAACAAGTAGTGGAAGTTTTCATGAGTATAGAGATGACTAACCTCACTCAGGAGCTGTAGGCTGTCCGCAGAGGAATTAGCACAATTCTTAGAAATTGTCCTCAAATGACCCAGGATGACAGAGGCTGTGTTGAGGCAACAGTCTCCAAAAGTGGAAAACCAGGCTGCTGTGGCTCCATGTAGTTGGGAAAATTGATGGAAATGGTGACCAGCAGCTCCCAGGAGCAGATTGTCTACAAAAGGGGCATTCTGGAAAGCAAGGGTTAAGAGAGTTGACAACTCAATTTGGGGAAAATTGGTTCTGCTTATGTATGGAATCAGAGAATACAGGTAAGTGTTTAATTTTTATGAGACCTTTTCTGCATTGATATTACAGAGACCTGGTGTGGAGGTGTTAGATGATCCTTGCTCAGAGTGCCTAATGTCATGGGGGGCTGATGTATTTCAGTTCCATATCAATTACAAAAATAATTCTGGGTGATAACAGTGGTCAGTGGCATTACAAGATTTAAGTGCTGCAAACCTATTCTGGATCAGGGATTTCCAGTGGAATTATGAACCAACCTGTAAGTATGGGTTAGACAAGGCACATCTAGTAAGAGCAAAAACAGGAGGAAAAGAAAATACTGCGCTGGAATGGCTACAAACTACCTCAGAAATACGATTTTCTGGATATCATTGTGGCAAAGGAGGACTTGAGCGTTACCTTTGGCTCCTTACAAGGAGCCAAATGCTATAAACTCATCTGGGTGTGAGGATGTCAATCAGAGTTTCTGGGCTGTACGATGCCTGGAGCTTGGCACAAAGCGTGTGTCTTTCCTGCCAGCATTGCTCCAGATTTCTTTCTTTTTTCCCCTTTTTTAAATTATTTTTGTTGTTGTTGTTGTTATTTGGAGGCAGCTGCAGGGAGGGAGCTGGCAGTTGCTTGCTATGAATTCTGTTATTTACTTCCTACAATACTAATTACTAAAAGATGCTACAGGTTTCCTTCAGACTAATTTTGAAGAAGCAAGGGAATGCTTTCTAAAGCAAACAAAGGAACAGAGATAAAACCTCAGGAGTAGCTGTTCATTTACATATTTTAGCTGTGGAAAAAAAAGATGTATCAAAAGAAGAAGGAGAATGATAAAACAGAGCAGGAATAAAGACATGTCCCAAAGCTGGCCTGGAGTTGCCATCTCTCTGAGCTCCTGCAGAAGCTGATGTTGGTGCTTAGCAGAGGAGAACAGGTATATCTACACAGTTGCTGGCACTAAAAAGCTCTGTGCTGGAAGATTGGGGACAGCTAAAGGCAAAAGCAAGGCTTGGAAGTACAGGCACCGTGCTGACAATTTTTAGGGTCTCAGCTTTTGAACAGCCCTTGAAGCTGTTCCGTGTGTAACAGTGTAATACCCACGGGAGCTCTGGTACTGGCTCAGAATATTTATTTAACTGATCAAATCTATTGGAAAAGGCAGCAACATTGAAACTGTGTAATCAGGTCCAAAGGGAGAGGGTGAGTGTGGGGAGTGAAGCTGTCAGTACCGGGGAGCACTGGTCTTGAAAGCTTGATAGTTCTTGGTAGCAGGGACAATGAAAAGCTAATCCCCAGAGGGTTTTGCATAGTTCTTAGTAATAGCTATGTGAAAAAAGGGAAAAAAAATTATTCTTACTCATGTAGTTTATGGATTTTGTTTTTCTATGAATTCATTGGTAAGTTGAAACAAATGAGTTGTGGGTAAATTTTTAGCAGCAAAATAAGTTTTCCTGCCTTTAGGTAGAATGTGAGAAAGTTCTAAGAGAAATTTTAACTGTTAAATTTCTTACAGATCTGAAGTAAAAGTGGGTTACAGCTCACTAAAAATTTTTTGTTAACAGTAAATAATTAAAAAAATGCAACAAATATTACAAAATTTCAACTGCCATGGAATAAGCTACAGCAGAAGGATGTGTGTGTAACTCAGCGTTACTCAGTATTTTGCAGGGATTCTTGGGAATAGCTGCAAGGGGGTCAAATTTTCTGAATAGAAATGAGGATTTAATTTTTTTTCTTAACCAGTAGGAAGAGTTTCTATTTATGCCATTTTTCAATAGCAAAAAGAAAAGGAATTTACTTCTGCGATACCAACAAGGAGGACCAGAACTTTTAACAAATCTGTAGGTCTCATTCGTAAGTTTCAAACCTCAATACAAACAAACCCCAGAACAATCTGGGAAAAGATTACTTTAATGATAAATATACCTTGTGGCAATCTGAAGTGATAGCTCTTAGGCTGTGCACAGATGTATATGTGAGATTATTGTCTGCACAGGTAAGGGATGAGTTTAGGTTTTGTTTTGTTCTTTTTTCCTATTAAAATCAGGGGATGCTGGAATGTGCCAAAACATTTGAAAAAGAACCAATATGTGAACAAATAACCTGCAGTAAACCTCAGGTCATTACTCAAGGTCAAACATGATGTGGTTTGTTCCAAAGATACGTTGAGGAATATAATTTGGTGCAGCTGCAGTGGGAGACATTGGTGGAGCTCTGGGGGGTGGGAGCTGGAGCCCAGGGAAGAGGCCTGAACTGCTGACCCTTTGCAAACCAAAGGGCCCAGGGACCTGTGGCACAGGCATGGCAGGAGGCCACGACCCCCAGACAGACCCCCAGACTTTCTCGCCGTTGGACTCTGAGGGGAGAAAAGCCCAGGGGTTCCTTTGTGTGGTCCCTCCTTGGAGGCACCAGCTCAAGCTGCTATTTTGTTATTTAGTTATTGCACCATGATTAAATTATTTTAAGGGTCTGCACGTCTGAGGCTGTTATGGGAAACTTGGGGTCAAACCACTAAGGAAACCTGGTCTGACTGAGCGTGGGGTGTATAGCTGTGAAGGGGCTTCGGTCCCAGCTCAGGTGGTGTGAGAATGACTACAAAAGAAACTCCTGGGTGCTTGGACAGGGAAGTTTCCTTAACAGGTGCTAATTTCCCTTTTACAAAGTAAAAAGGGTGGATGTTTCACTTCACGAACTGAAGACTGAAGTTCTGCAGAAATAGGAAGCTTTGGCATGTCTAGAAAATCATTATATAGTGTGGTAAAAATCAGAAATGTGCAGTGGTTAATGCTGCTCTTTCGTTCGTTTTGTTTCACAACCTGTTTTGTAGTGAATGCAGACAGGAGAGCTGTTTAAGGGCTTGTGTAGTGTTTGGCTTATGGTGGCAACATCCTAAGGTTTTCAGTGATGAGGTGTCATTTCCCTGGAAAACTTTA